AACTGTAAACTGGATGGCTAACTCCCTCGGCGTGTTATCTCTCTATTTGGCCAATTTCTACTATTTCCAGCCGCGCCCTCAAGCCTGGTAGAGGCTAACTAGACTGTATAACAGCCACCCAAATATCTGCCCGGAGATTATTTTTATAACACTTAACCGGACCGCGGCATCTATGTCGTTACCCTGTTACGCCGGCGGTCGGGAACAGTGGAAAACAAACACGTGGGCGTCAGGAGACGTCAGAAAAGGGCAACATCAAGCCACGGTGGGCATAGTAACGCCACAACATGGCGGACAGTCCTGACAAGAAATGTGCTTTCTAACTTGAAAAATCAGAGAACACATCCACACTATCTCATGGTTTAGATGTATTCCTATAGGATGAGATGAAATCCATCTACATTTCAGCGTCTAGTATGATCCGTTCACGATGCTCATGGGACAATATCTTGCCAGTTTTTGTGTACAATCCTATTCTACGAAAACTGTCCTATAATTAACAAAATATAACTCTGTTCTCTTCATATCTGATTGACTTGTGATGGTTAACACTGCACTCAGACACAGACACTCACACACCCATATGTTGTAGGAGGGGTGACGTTATCGTGTTGCCATGACAACAGTGATTGTGTGAGCCACAATCTAGGCGTGGCGCGGATTGCTACATAAAGTCCACCTGCACCTGTCCGCAGTCACCACCTCCACACACACCAGCCGCCCAGGTCCCGCCGCGCCAACACTTCATCCTGCAGGGTTCTCACTTAGAGGGAATAAAGAAATCTTCAACATGGCGGAAGGCTGCTGTGCCTCGATTATTAAGATTTTGCTCTTCATCTTTAACTTCATCTTCTGGGTGAGTTTTTATTTTATTTTATTTTTTTTTGTTTCCTTTAACAGGAGGATATAAAGCGGAAATGTGATCTTTGTTTCAGAATACGGGAAGTTTGAGCATATCAATACCTAATAGTAGACTAGCTTATACCTCTAAAAACTCTGTATATAAGAATAGAACTTAGCCAAAAACCTGTATTCTTCTTGCTTTACAAATATGTATCATATAATTTTGCAGCAAAATTTTAATCTTTCAGCAAAGAAGAAAAATCATAAACGGCTGAAAATATGTGGTTACATCCTGGTAAAATCTAAATTCTCCTCGACGCCTTGCATTATTATCAATTTTAGTGTACAGATTATCAAATAAATAAGAAAAATATGTGAATGTCTGATGTTTGTTACACTTGGTATCGATCGATGAGAACAGCCGTTAGATCCATTTACAACAGACTCTAGACATTGTTTAGACAGAAGTAGAAAAGGCTGTGCAGTTCTCAAAGATGTTTACCGCCAAATCTGCCCATATAGGCCAGCTGCTTCCATGTTATTAGAAAAGAACAATGCTCGTAAAAACAAAAGGGATTGCCTTTGAAATCGTGACCTAGATGTAGCATTTTACAACTCCATTTTAGATTTTTGTAAAGCATTGGAAGGTTCCCTACAAATACCATTGCTTACAATTAACCTTTGTACGTCCACATGGGTGTACAGAAATACCAGGCTCACTAGGTGTGACCTGTTAGATATCCGTTATGACCTACGCTTACAGGGTGTGCCCGGATAAAACCGTTTGCCATCGAATAACAAATTTAAAGGATTTAGATAGAGCGCGTTCTCATCGCAAATTTACTACCACAAAATACAGTGTGGCAATTTAGAAAAAAAACTATTTGTACTACACAGTCAAGCTACATGTAAATGCCAGTTTAAAACGTCTTAAATTTTGCATTGACGGTAAAATATGCGTCTTAATCGTCTTATTAATTGGAGAACAGCGAAGCCAAACCAAATTGGACTACACAATATCTGAACCTGTTGATGTCACCGAACATGCAAATATCTTTGTTGCCTTAGCCGCGAACAAAGGGCAGTTCTGTTTTCGCCAGACACAGGGAACGCAGTTCGTTTGTTACAGCGGTTAGAGTAAAACAATAAACTCACCATTTCTTTTAGAATATTTCAGCGCATTGATTTTGCATGCGGCATTAGTGAAATTAATACTAGTAATCAATATATCCTGAAGATCTTAAAAATAAAAAAAATCAATATTGGTTATTTTATCAAACCAATTAGAATTGTAACAGCTCATAGCACTCGCTGTCCATACCTGTCAAGACAGAATCTTTGGACAAATGGAGTAGAAAAATATTTCCTACGCTAACAGTGACCCTCTAATGACTTGGAACCTTCCCATGTTAACCGCCGCCAACGCAAACAATGAGTCACTGCTGATAGCAGATCTGACCGGGTCTTTACCTTTGATTATTCATTAAAAGAGAAAAAATGTCGTTAGCGTTGGCGTTGCCATTTTGGCGCGCGAGTCAGTTTGACCGACAAGTACGATGTGCACGTGGTTGGGCTCGTTAATGGTAGTTAGCTAGTTAGTTAATTTATCAGATTACTGGTACTGGACTTCCCTAAAGCATTCGGTGTATAAGGCGGTGCCCACCCCCTTTCTATAACCTTAACACTCTGTCCACTAGGCCCCTGTACTTAACTACTAGTAGTGAATGTGTTTTTTTAATTAAAAAAATGTGAGGTTATAGCTATAGTTATCGTATTGCCCCTAACCTCAAACATATTGTGTATGCTCAGTTTGTCTTTTGACAAAGGGGGAAGGCGGAGCAGGTGTATATGGGTAAATGTAGCTTTCAAAAAGAACACTAACTACGTATTAGAAGTTCCAAAGTACAACTATTTCATAACTGGTAGCTAAGCTAACAACAACTTTATCTCAGGACAATACCGCTTGTCACTCTGGAGAGTAAAATACTTACAGTTTGGCAAAAAAATGGCACAGAAAATTTTGATTTTCAAGTCATATCTGTACGTCATTCGATCCACAGGATAGCACGGCATATCTATGAACAAATGCAAGGATGGCAATTATCATCCTCAGTAGTACTATTTCCTGTGAAGAACGCGCTGACATTTACGTAGAATGATATCTACATGATTTATTACATGTCCATATTTTTGTATGTATGTTTATGTATTGCTTTCATAATGTGTTTAAATCCAATGCTGTTTTATACTGTTTTTATTGATGTAATTAGGGAAGGGAGCTGGTAAAGGTGACCCACCTGTTCTCCCTACCTCTCCATGCATGTGATGGATAATTTTAATAAATAAATAAAATCGTTCATCGTCAAAAACATTGAACGCATATTTGTGAAGGTCATGACAGCTATGTGTTGACGTTTCCCCCGGTCTATCAGGTGATCGGCATCGCCATCCTGGCCATCGGCATCTGGCTGCGCGTGGACGGGAAGATTTCCAAAGTTGTGGCCGGAGAGATCGACCTGGGGTTCTTCTACACGGCGTGCTATGTGCTGATCGTGGCCGGCGCCTTCACCATGGTGGTCGGCTTCCTGGGCTGCTGGGGCGCCGTCAAGGAGAACAGGCTCTTCCTGCTGCTGGTGGGTAGCTGACGGTGGAACAGTTAACTTTCTCAATCCAAATCCGCATTGACTTCAGAAATTACGCGACAGGTTCTATTGGTACCTCTGTAGCTGGCACCCTTAACATTTAAAAAAGAAGAAGAGACACCAAAAATCAATTTCGAAAGATATTCGATCAAGTAGACTTCTGTCTTTGATCAATATTACATATGTATCATCAAAATATTAGCGTTCCACATTGAATAGTTTGGAAGCCGTGGCCCTTCTAATTAGGTCACTATGTCGTCACGGAATTTTGCATAAAATATCTTGCAATAAGGTTCTTTGGTAAACGTCAATAACGAGCGCCATACATGACTCCAGGTAATATGTTTAAGACATCCTCATACCTCTTTACTCCATACATAGTCACATTTATAATGTAACAAATTAATTTATTTTGTGTACTGAAACGCATGTGTTCCCTCCACAGTTCGCCATCTTGATCGGACTGCTTGTGATTTTGGAGTTCGTTGCCGGGATCCTGGCAGTCGTCTACAGGAACGACGTATGTGTCAAAGTTTCGAGATGCTTTTCTCGGTCTTCAACCTTACGGCGAAAGATATTTGTTGTGAAGAACGAATGATATGGTTTCACAGAACACATTGGGGCAAGAATTTCTGCAATTACAAAAGAAGATATTCTGCTTCTGATTATCCTTTTACTTAGCTTTGATATTTGATGAATAGAAGTCACTGTATGCTCGTCTTTAGAAGCGAGAAGTTGAAATTGAACAAAGGAGGTCATTCATTCATTCATTCATTCATTTATTCGTTCGTTCATTCATTTATTCATTCGTTCGTTCGTTCATTCATTTCATTCCATTCATTCATTCATTCATTCCTTTCCTTCCTTTATTCCTCCACTTTGGGAGAGCCATGATCGTTAAAATACAGGGGTACACACTAAAAAGATATTAAATATAAAATATTTTTTTTTCTCACACAGACACATAATTAAATATAAGTAATGGATATCGTCTATTCTATGGCAATCAGTCCATTTCTATCTCGTCTTTCTTGGGCTTTATAGTTCTTTACTATTCCTGACCGCACTCTTTCTCCAAGTCCCTAATGTAAGCACTTACTGTCCACTCCTTCACAGGTGTTTCACTCTGCATCACTTCTGTCCTATCTTCTGTCTCCTTCTGTCTCTGCATCTCTTGTCAACACACTGTCCACTCCTCCACAGGTGTTTCACTCTGCATCACTTCTGTCCTATCTTCTGTCTCCTTCTGTCTCTGCATCTCTTGTAAACACACTGTCCACTCCTCCACAGGTGTTTCACTCTGCATCACTTCTATCTTCTGTCTCCTTCTGTCTCTGCATCTCTTGTAAACACACTGTCCACTCCTTCACAGGTGTTTTACTCGCTCGTTCATTCATTCATTCATTCATTCATTCATTCATTCATTCATTCATTCATTCATTCATTCATTCATTCATTCATTCATTCATTCATTCATTCATTCATTCATTCATTCATTCATTCATTCATTCATTCATTCATTCATTCATTCATGTTTGCGTTCTTCAGCTGAACACATGGGTGAACGACGCCGTTGATAAGGCACTGAACGGTGAGCAGGTGAACGATAAGGATGCAGATTTCCAGACATTTGTTCGTGAACTTCAGGGAGAGGTATTTTAAATCTTTTTACAGCATCCTATCATTGGACCTATCACATTATTACGTCACAGTACTACTTTCGTCTTAAGTCACAACTAAATCACCCATGCGGCATGTAATGCTGTGTCAACACAACTAGACGCAGCAAAAATCAAACATACCTTACTTTGAAAACTTTGAAATGATCTTTATTCTTTAACTGACCGTTCTTGAATGTTCTTTAGAACAGGTAAACAAACTGTGACGTAATAATGGTATAGGTCCATTGTCTAAAGTGCGACGACATTCCATTCTTAGTGTCGCACATAGAATATGCTTCTTCTAACATACATGTAACGTAAGACGGTCCTAATGTCTTAGTCCATAATAGCCTAGAGGAATAAAAAAATATATTCGAAATGTATATCATTATGGTGATAATCATATGTACGTGTTGTTAAAGGCATTAGACATAATGGAAAAAAGACTTCTATTATCTTTTTCTTTCTAATCAAAATGTTGGGGACGTTAGATCCTCTACAATAGGCAGAGAATGCTATATGTAACGTTATGATGCTGATATCCTCAAGTTCATTCATACAGATAGTATACAACACATGTCATATTCCGTTAAATGTTCACAATAGCCAAAAATGTACAAAACTCAGCCTGACGTTTGATTTCTCACTTCTGCAGTTTACCTGCTGTGGTCTGACCCAAACGAGTGACTGGGACAATTCGTGTACCCAAGGACAGTGCGTGGCCTGCACTGGAAATGACTGTGTGGCCGCCACAGGATGCAGTCGGAATGTACACAAGGTTGGTTATCAGTTTTACTCTTACGTCTTGTCTCCTCTGTACCCATAGCTAATAGGACTGCGACTGATGACGTATTGTCGTTATGCCTTCATAATTATGTTTACCGAAGGAAAACATATTGTTTTTACTCAATTTCCTCTTCTCCAAACACTAACCTCTGACCTGGCCAATTGTTGATGTCTGTCACCATAGTAACTGGTGTTGGGTTATATGATGTTGCAATTTCATGGTCTGCTCTGTTCCTGTCACAATATACTAGTAGTACATGTATGTGAATGTATTTGAGTAAGAATTAACAGGGCAGACCATGTCAAAAGGTAAACATTGTGCATTTGCTTTGCAAATGTTACTTCTCTAGTTGTCGTTATGCCTTTATAATTTGATCAAAGTGTTATCTGCATTGAAGTCTTTACAACTGTCGGCGGTAGTATTGTGAATAGTGAACATTTTGACAGATAGATCAAGATATCTTCTAGACCAAAAACCATATATCAGTAATATCTGTGGCTATAGAGCTAACATCCTAAATACACCCCATTCCCACAGCCTTGTGTGGCCAAACTCAACCAGTTCCTTGCGGACAACATCATCATCGTGGGAGGCGTTGGGCTCGCATTCGCCTTTCTACAGGTACAGTATGCGCATTCGGTTGGCTGACAAAAACATGGAAATGATTCTAATGAAAAAAAAATTAACAGAAATTATTTAGTCCCTGGTGGGTACAACTATTGATCGTTCAATGAATAGTTATGCGCCTAAGAATGAAAATCTAATAAATGTAACTTCATTTCTTGTTTTTCTTCCACTCAACACAGAACAATGCAGTCTGCAGACTATTATAATAAAGAGAGTACCTTGTATTTACAATTTGTATTACGTGCTTGTGCACATGCATGAGATATGCCCTTTTGATACTGGATTATATATATATGAAAATTGTAATCAAAGTAGCAAAATCATATTGATTCTGCAACCAAAGCTACAGATGTTGTAAACTTGTTCTGTAAACAAATGTTGTTTACTCGTACACGTCGCAAAAAATATTACAGAGGCAATCAGGGCTGGTTGTCAGTGCCTCACAGAATATCTCACATCAATTTATAATAAATCGTTCGCAACTAGCATAACAAAACTGAGAATCAGCGCGCATTGTCTTCAAATCGAAAAAGGTCGACAACACAACACACCAGCCACTCAGAGACTGTGTCCCACATGTAATGAGAATATTGAAGATGAATTTCACTTTGTTATGACTTGTCCCACCTATAGAAAAGAAAGAGATACATTGTTACAGACTATTACTACTAAGACAAAGTTTACCCAATCTGGTACACAGTACGATACATTCCATGAATTATTGTCATGTCCAACTACCATATCTGCTTATGTAGGCCAATTTTTGTACACTTTATTCCATAAGCGAGAACATATCATCAATACATGACCATATGGTTACTCAAATACTGTTTAGTAATTAAAGTTTTGTAGTATTGTTGTATTACAGCCATACATTGTACCTTGTACGATTGTTGAGCAATAAAGTTCATTCATTCATTCATTCATTCATTCATGTTGTAGAGCAGTGTCCGATTGCTAGAGATTATAAACTGTTAACTCACATGTGTTTCTGCATTTCAGATCGTCGGGATCGTGTTCGCCTGTATCCTGCGGCGGAACCTGGACGAGTCCTCGTCCAACGTGGCCTAAAACTTCTGCAGCTCTGAAACACTGAGTAGTCACGTAAACCATGATCTCACCATGTTCGCATCTGTAGTTCATCTTTTATAAACAGCATTGAAGTCACTAGTAATGGATCAATTCCTGAGAATTCTATATCGTGGACAGCTTTACTGCAATTTTGTGCTTTGAATTACAGTTTTGCATTAGAATTGACCCATGTAAGAAGGGCAACTTACAAACTTACTTTCTTTGAAGAAAATGTGATGTATTGAATACGTATGAAAATGAATTAACGACCGATAGATGCCTGTTTGTATACTTCTATGATTCTGCCTATATGTTTGTCAGAGTCACATTATAATTGATTCCCTAAATGACGTGTGTGGAACGTTTGGTTCCTTTTCTGCAAGTCGGTCAGCCGGCCGTAATTCACGTGCCCAGGATGTGATACAGCTTTGCATGTGTAAACTAGACAGGTTTTTAGTACCTCGGCACTAGAGTTTAGCTTTGTAATGTACGTCAGTCGCCATCGATTTTGTGTTTTAATTCAATACTCTACATTGCACAGATTTAAGAACAACGTCCGTTGACTGTACATTCTTTTGTTTTGAAATAAAATTTGCAATGATTGAAGACCGCTGCGTGGTTATGAGTATGACGTAAACTAGCAAGATGGAAGTAAAGAACCGCAAATATAACGCCACACAATAGTAGAAATTACTTTTATCATATAAATTCTCTAAACTACGCTTGAATTTATGTTCCATTTGACAATTTAGATAGTATGTTTAGTTAGTTTTGTCGGATTTCAGAAACTAAACCATAAGGATCGTGGGGTCGTGTGGCGCAGTCGGTAGCGCGTTCGGCTCACACCCCAGAGGTCGCGGGTTCGAACCCTGCCCATATCACCGATCTTGTGCCCTTGGGAAAGGCACTTTGCACGACTTTCCTCACTTCACTCAGGTGAAAATGAGTACCTAGCTTCGGTTAGGGACGTCCCTCGGATAGGACGTTAAATGAAGGTCCCGTGTTTGGGGAGAGCCACACCCCACGCACGTTAAAGAACCCACCGCACTTATCGAAAAGAGTAGGGGACCTTCCCAGTGTGAGTAGTTCAAAACTTTACAGTCCGGTCTTACCCAGCTTGTACATGTACGCACATGTGCAAAACTGGTATGTTACGCCTAAAGGCGGTTTACCGGTTATGCGAAACAAACAAAGGCTGGGTTATCCCAGGTGAAATGTTTCTCCACAGTAGATTACACCCGAGTCACGTTAAAATGACCCCTATGCGATAGTCAATTAAAGGTCGTCATCCGCCGGCACGGTGACACAAAAGTACGCAGCGGTCCCTTTCTAATGCCACAAACCCAGCTTAGATAGGTCTGTTTAGATAATGACGTCATGACCCTCAGTACAGATTACTGAAGCCGAACCACACCCAGCTCTCACACACAACTGGGCTACGTCCCGCCGCGTTGCCTAGCAACACCCACGTGACACGTACGTGGGCGTGGGCATGTATTCCAAGCCCACACCTTACTTTCACACAGCTGGCTTACTAACGGGACACACCTAAAGGTCGGGCGTCGTCACTGTAGTATAACCAAAGTCGAGCTGGTCATAAAATCGTCTGATTCAAGATGGCGGAGGGCTGCTGTGGAAAGTGCTCCAAGTTTATGCTGTTCGTCTTCAATCTGATATTTTGGGTAAGTTGCTGACTTCACAGTTGTAGGCATTCATAGCTATATATAGGGGAAATACACTGGCTAGTACTGTGCGTACGGGGAAGCATAATATACGGTTGTAAATCAGGGAAATGCTGTTTTAGTGGTGACACGGTTGACAGAATGATTGTTGAGATAATTTGGTTCATTTACAGCGGTGTGCACGAGTTAAACGATTACCTATCAATGAATGTAAATACCATAACCATGTGTATATAACACTCTCGCGTCCTCTGGCGTCTTTTGAATAACAGCACTGAAATAGTTCTATAGAACGGTAAATCTTAGAGTCTTTAGCAACGGTTAACCGTACTGGGAATGCAACGTGTAGATCTACATTGTATGCCGTAGTTTGGAAGGTTTTTTTTCGGATTCCATGCACAAAAGTGTAAATACCTTCAGAAAAGCTGTCGAGTTGCTTAAACTTCAAAGCATTGACACAACGTAGACTGAAGTTGTCCAGGCTCTGTCCTGTTTAAGGGAAAGGAAAGCATTTCTCCCGGCCCATTTCGACCTGTTTAGCACGGCACGGCGAACATGAATGGGTAACCCGGTAAGGCAAATACACGGCACGAATGGTCTGTTGTGTGGCTGCGTCACTCAGCTACATGTATATTATTCAGCCTGTGTTACAACATTCTAAACGTGCCATAAGATGTGTGCACCATACATGTATGTGCATATTGACACCAACTACAATGGCTACAGCGTACCGTACGAAGAAAAGGGCGCATCAACAAGCAAGCCAAGCAGTCATACATGAAGGAAAATAAAGATCCAACACTGTACCCCTCGTCTCGTGAGTTCGGATTTCTGAACGTTTATACCCAGCACAATTACATGCCTGATTTTTCTATCTTGTGCTCATACTGCAACTGTTTCCTCAGGCTCACATACATCCTACATGCATTAGATGCCGTGTTGTGAGGCCTTATCAAATCATGTTGTGTTGAAAGACGACAGCTTGCCCAATGTTTGTGTAACAGGTGTTGTTGACAGGGTAATGGGTGATCTCGGATCAGGGGTTACGGTTGTGGGAAAGTGCTGACACAGCTGGCTGATCCCTGGATAATACGGACATCACACAGTAGCAAACGTCCTTAGGCATCGATAATGTGAATGTAAGAGAACTACTTCGATGAAGGTTAGACATCCAGGTAATACGACACGCCAAAAAGCAGTTACTCAAGCAACTGGATATGATTTTGAAAACGTCAGACGTTTCAGCTAGTATCCACTAGCTTTCGTCAGTGACTGAGAGACCAGAGGGGAAATGCAGGTTTATAAGCACAAACTAAAAGAACTACTGCTTACAATGTTTCATCTCCGCGTATTGATGATATTTTAAGCTCTCAGCAAATGTTAATTTTAACGCTATATGGGATACGTGTTCCCAGTATTATCCTAACATAATTACGATCATTACATTCTCGTGTTACTTGTTTTTCACAAAGTCGTCTCGCATTACTGGTTGTTTGATTTTAAACAAAGACTAATAAGTCATCAACAACAACTGTCGGTTGTAATAACGTTATGACATAGTGCTTTGGGGAGGGGGGCTACCCAAACTTTGCTGGCTAGAGGGCAGACACCACATAGAGGGCAGACACCACATTGTAGTGCCTAGTTAATACCTTTGAAAATCCTTTTTTCTCTTGAAAGGTTTGGTCCATGTGGGAGATTTTTGGGCTGGAAGGCACAGGTAGGGTCTAAACTTTCCTACATTGGTCAAGTTTTGTTTATTTCATCAGTTTAGTGGGCGTAGTGAGAGATGTGAGTGGTTAGGTCTTGTCTGGCCAGGCGGATGGATACCATGGAAAATGTAGGTCAAAGTTGAGGTTTAATGTTACTATCATCAGCTGTGGCGGGAATTTGAGATGGTCAACCCCCTGTTTCCTTTCTAGTTTTGGGAATCAGACCCTTGTTGCTACCTGGTGCAGAAAATTTTTTTAAGATTGAAGTATGGGCAAGTACTTTCATGAGGTGTTGAAATAGTGTATTTAAGCATGTTCCTATGGCAAGATCTAATAGTACTGTCTGCCCTGAATATTTCACCAGTCGATTCAATCCAAATGAAATACCAAAGGGTTTTCACCATAGGGATTGGCAAATGAACGTAAATTAAACTTGATTAGTGACCTAAATCAAACACTGACTGTAAAGGACACCCCCTAGACAAACATGGGCGGGACCTATGTCAGTAAGGGGGCGGGAGATGCGTTAGTTAATGTAATATGTTTTCAAGCTGCATTACGCCTATCGTTTCACGTGAGAAAGTTCATGCAGTAGTTTTTAATTTTGAAGAAAAGGAACAAGTTTGAAAAAAAGGGAACGACTTGTCAATGGCGAAACTATGTTGTAAATATCCTGACAGACTGTGTTTGCTACATGTACTGTCCTCCCACCAGCTAAAGTATTTGTCTGTCCCACGCAAACTACTCAGGCATTGAGACACGATGAATAGATGGAGAAGAAACATGTATACAGGACGCCATGGTACTAACAATGGTGTGTGTGTGTGGGTGGGGGGGGGGTGTTAGAAAGAAAACAGAGCCAAACTATGATAGCCTTATTCACGTGGTCACGCGAGATTTCTTCAGTAATCTCGCTCGGTTGGCCTCGCCTAGAAGAGGCATTTCTGGAGGATGTGTGGTGGAGGGATGAAGACTAAGGTTTTGAGTGGACAAACGTTATAAAACCGAGCAATGAGTCACACACGACATGTACATCAAAGAGTTCTACTAGAATTGACATAATAAAGAAGATGAACGCCAAGCGCTTTTCGAAACTTTATAATTAGACAAGATATGTAAGAAAATGTCAAAGCAGGATAATTTTAAATATACTTGATGTCTAGCAGGAAAGAATGTATGATAGACAATTTTTGTACTTATGTCTCCAGATGTTTCAGAAAGAGGGAAGAAACGGCGATTAGCAGTAGATGATTAGTATATTGTTTTGTTGTCATATATAGACTTGTATTTATTAGTATATTGTTGTAGCATATACTTGTAGCACTTGTAGCATTAGAATGTAGCTGTTCAGCACTCAATACTTCATGTTTTAATATCTTCTAGACCACTTTTGGCCACATATGCATTTAGCCAACCTGGGCAGGAATATGTAACAAAGATTCTGTCAATGAGAAGTTTATTGCAAATCCATGCCCGAAGGCTAATTGCAAGTTACAAACATAAAAGAACTCTGAAACAGAGTATAAAATAACTTTCAAATTTACATAATGAAATCTAATTGTCTAAAACTATTGCTATGTCTAAAACTATGTCTGAAGGGTTTGACTTCTCTTTTTTAGACCATGGAAGACGTAATGTCACACCTTTTCTAAAATTTGTGGGTTTTGGGAAGTTAAAAGAAGAACAGTTTTTTGTTTGTCTGTAAGTTTAGGGAAGTTGGAATAAATTGTAGATGTTTGAATTAAAAAAAAAAATCTGTTTCAGCTTTATGTCTCTTACCAGCCTCTACCAGGCTCAAGAAGCGACTGGAAAGAGTAGATTGACCAAATACACAGATAACTTAATTGTTTATTGCAAATTCTTGCCCGAAGGCTAATTGCAGGGACAGAAGAAACATATGGTATAAAAACAGGCAATTAGTACACATAGAACTACTGATAACTACTAAAAAACTACTGGGTTTGACTTCTTTTTTGAAGACAGAGGAAGACAAAGGATCCCACTTTTTCTGTAACTTGTGGGTTTTCGGATGTTAAGAGCAGAGTAGTTTTCTTTTCATTTGTTTTGTGTGAAATTTGGGTAGAATTTGGAGGCTACGTCAAAGAGTTCATTTCGTTCATTGCTATAGAGGGTACAATTTGAGATAAAATGCGTTTCGTCCTCCACCGTATCATGCCAGGGGAGTTGGTCCACTGTAGGAGTATATTTGTGGCTGGTCTATTTGGCCAATTCTATTTTCCAGACGCTTCTAAAGTCCGGTAAAGGCTTACACTTACTAACGTTGGCACATTGTACGTTTGAGTTTCACAATAAAGATGTTGTGAAATGTCAACTGATTGTTCTCTATCGTTATCGGCTAGCTTTATTTTTCTCCATATTTCTGCTGACTAAGTGAGCTAACAAAGTCCTGGTTCTGATACAAAACTCCCACAGCTCGCAGGAATCGGTCTGTTGGCGTTTGGGATCTGGCTGCGACTGGACAATGACATCGCGAAGATCGTCTCGCTGGACCTGCCCTGGTTCTACAACGCCACGTACGTGATGATGGGGGTGGGGGGCTTCACCATGATCATGGGCTTCCTGGGCTGCTGCGGCGCTATGAAGGAAAACAAGTGCATGCTGACAATGGTAGGTGATTGGTCAGTGTTTTTTTTATTTATTGGTTTATTTGTATCAACATATCAACAACATATCTCGCAGCCTTGACATACAGGGCTGAATTCTGATGTTTGTTTACAATATAAATCATTAATAGTACGGAAATACAAAATACAATCATATCGGAATCTTATATATCACTTTGGTTCGAAAAATTTAGGTATTTACAGTGTGTTAATGACGTCACAATCACAATGATAGATGATTGGATACTGCGTTTATGACGCCATGATCATATGTAGTTTCATTGCTGTAATTCTTTTAAAATTCTTTTGTACTATATACTGATGATACCATTCAATTATATATCACAATTGTACCTAGTACTTTATCACTATGACTTGTACTTAGCTTATAAAGACATAAACATACAATGATGTTCATTCATTCATTCATTCATTCATTCATTCATTCATTCATTCATTCATTCATTCATTCATTCATTCATTCATTCATTCATTCATTCATTCATTCATTCATTCATTCATTCATTTAGCGTATGACTACTATTAGGAAACCAACGTTCCAAATTCATGTTACATTATCACCAATATAGCAAAATCTTTGCCAGCGTCATGTTTTTGTTCTTTCAGTACACCATTTGCCTTGGTCTTGTTTTCATCGCTGAAATCGCAGGTGGTGTTGTAGCATTCGTCTACAGGAATAATGTGAGTATATCTGAACAACATAATGCACAATACTTTGACAATCCGTTACGTTTCTTATGAGATAGAGAGATGCAATCGATACCGATGTGTTATCGTCATATCTGAGATTAGTACAGAAGCCTTTCACGACTTTCACGGTCGATGTTCAGGAGAACTTGCACTTCTTGTTCCGCCGCTCAGAACCTTTCAGCGTGCCACTAGGCTCTCTTCCAGTTCTCCTCAATACACCGTCAACATACCTGTCTCCAAGTCATTTTACAACAACAGCTTCTTTCCCCAGACTGCAAAATTATGGAACTCTCTTCCAAACAGATGCTTTCCGTCCGACTACAATTCACAAAGATTCAAAACAAAGGTCCATCGCCATCTCCTAACATAACTACATTATACTCACTTAAGTACCTCTAGCTCTATGCCTAGAAGTGGCCAAAAATAATTGGCCTTGCATTGACCGACACCGTTAGAAAAAGCCATCATGACGTTATAACCTGTTCACAGTTGAATACGTGGGTGGACGAGGCTTTCTCAGGGGTTCTTGACGGCCAACAAATTGAGTCTCTGTCGCAGGACACGAGGGAGGCCATCATCACCCTCCAAACACAGGTAAGGACAACCTCACAATGCCGCAGCTACTGACTAAATATAATCGTTCGAAGTTTTATTTAAATGTAGTCTTATGCGTTTATCTTTCCTTGAGGTAGTATATGAATAGGTTAATAGATTACATACAGTATTTGGTTTCCATGTTGATATTCAAAGTTAGATGACATATCCTCTTATGGAGACGTCTAGTGAACGGAAGTCTCTGCGTCTGCGTCTGCTAAAGTTTACTATTTCACCAGAGTCATCCTCCCTTGTCCCTTTTTAGTTCACGTGCTGCGGTCTGACCAATCCCAACAACTGGGCCGACCCTAGCGCCCAGCCCAGCTGCCCCTGCCCCGCGGCTGACCAGGGAACCAACAAGTGTGAAGTGATCGGCGGTACGGAGTACAGGCTGGTGAGGAGGTCTCATGTGCAAGTCTTTAACTTCCCTTAGAATCTGGTTCAAAGGAGTTTATCAGAAATCACAAGTTAAGCAGAAAGTTGAGTTACAGGTCCAGTAGTAGGCAGTACAATATTCTACGCCAAAAAGCAGTTACTCAATTGCAAGCAACTGGATATGATTTTGGAAATACAATATTCTGCTGTGCAGAGACACTGTCTTCTAGATCCAATGTTGAGAAAGACACGGCGGAACAGTTAAAAAAAATACTTTAACGCAAGAAGTCAAGGGTAAAGGGCCAGAGCTTTAACAGTTCATGTATTCCATTCACCTTTCTCACAACAATAAGAAAAGTGTTCTCCCCAAAGCTAAGGTAGAATCGTTTAGATATTCTAAAATAAAACTCGACGTCTTAAGTGGACGGGCACTGCTAGAGATTTTTGGAATGATTTTTGATTCCAAATGTATGATTAGTACGATATTTGTGTTTCAGTCTTGTGTGGACGAACTGAAGTTATACCTGGAGCAGAACATCGTCATTGTAGGAGCTGTGGCACTGGCAGTCGCTGCTGTAGAGGTGAAGCAATGATCATGTTTGAGCCAAGTACTTACAATGACAACCAGGGCACGCAACAAGTCAAGTAACATTGATGCATTTGTTGATGGTACAGACACAGAATACTTTGCAGGAAAATAATCTTCATGAATTCAAACACATTTTTAATGAAACATTTGAATGTTTTGCTACAATTGTATGTACATGTACTACTTTGTAATATTATGCTTGTTTTAATCACTGCAACTAACTCATTTAAATATATAAAATGTAAAGCCAAACACTGTATGAAATGTAGTTAAACATGTCATGCACAATATCGTATGAAGCTATTTACAATATGGTGTCGCTTTTGTAGTGATTCAAATATGAATTTTCCAACGTACACTCGTCTGATAACTGAGTAGGACATGAAAGGAGCATATTAAAGATATCTGATTTTGAGTGAGGTAGCGTAACATTAGTTTTGGAAGCTATGGATTGCATCAACTTTTGTATTGTTTTCTTCATATGTTGGACATGACATCATAAAGTGGAATTCGTCTTCAATACCCTCCTTGCATGTCGGGCACAATCTCTGATCGGCTGGTGTGTTATAATGACGGCCCTTTTCGATTTCCAGGCCGTGTGAACTTATCCTCATTTTAGTTATGCTTGCCATATCCACAACTTTCATACTTTAATCAATCATTTTATTTTTCTTCCTACTGCAGATCTTTGGGATCATCTTCGCGTGTGTCCTATTGCGGCAGGCAGACAAGGAGACCAGCGGCATCGCGTAACCTCCTCCTGATGCCGTCACGGGTTTTTGCTGAGGGAGGACCAAATGTACAGTTTATAGCATTGTTACCTGAACAGTCTAAACAATAAAAAGTGAGAAAGCGTTAGCATCAGAACTGAAACACTAGGGCCTAGCAAGTCAAGGGTCCATGATGACACATTTATATTAACAGCCGTATCAAGTAGTAGCACAATATATAGTCAATACAATTGAAACGTACACATTGTTATTAATGTATTTTAATTTTTATAGTGTGTTTTACAACATTTAATAAAAGAAAACATTACCTCATGCAAAGCTTCTGTTCTGCAAAACTTATTTTTCCGTGTAGACATGTTCAGTCAAATTTGTTTTCCATTTTGTATCTACCAGAGAAATTGTCATGTAGGAAAATAAGACAGTACTGGGGTGATAATGTTTATGAACTTTTTACTTTCTGCTTTTGGGTCTTTGTTATCATGTCAGTCCTGTTAATCTAATAAAGTAAGGGATTTCGTGGTGTCATGACTACTTTTGTCTCTCTCTTTGAGCCTTGTCATATTGAAAAATGACTGTGTGTGTGTGTGTGTGTGTGTGTGTGTGCGCGCGCGAGTGTGCATCTGTGTATGTGTGTGTGTTTGTGTGTGCGTACTAGTGTCTGAGTGTGTCTGTACATATTATGTGTGTATGCATATGTGTGTTTGGGTGTGCGTGTGCGAGTTTGTGTGTGTGTGTGTGTGTGTGTGTTCGCGTTTATGTCAGCTTACTAGTATGTGCTTGTCTGTGTCTATATTTCTTTTCCTGTTAGATGGTTAGCAGCTAAAATAACATTGCCATCTAGATTTAGAATGTCAGCTTCGCACTTGTCGCTGTGTACCCTAAACTTACATTCACGCTGAAGAGACCGGTAACATTACGTCAAATGTCCGAACCAAGTTGCGATACTTACACACCCAGGCCGTGTAATACTGATTGAAGTCGTTAGGGGACGCTGTTACCAAACGTACCGTCTAGTACAAACATGAACACATGTTACTACAATGACAAAAACATACTGCGTAATCCTTGCAAAATGAATCAGCTACCATTAAGACCTTCGACATTTATTGTAAGAATTCGTTTGTATCGAAAAATGTTCAACTAGAGTTCCACAATATCATACCTTCGCCAAATGATGTTAATTTTTATGACTGACCATGACATCAATGGACTGACAAATTATAGATATTCCCCCTGATTATGCAAATAGGATCCTTATTTCTATGAATTATATCAGTTGATCTTGATTATATTCTCCACCTATTCTAGCATTTCCTCATAAATTATGCAAACGAGGTCCTTATTTGAATAAGTTTAATTATGTTTGCCTTCACTTAACTTTCAAATACCCTACATGTATGCATGAAATTCCAGGCAGTTACCATAGACCACACACACACACACACACACACACACACACACACACACACACACACACACACACACGAACACCTCTGAATACATAACCTTCTTGGCGAAGGTAATGACCAAAGTATGTTGCAATACCACAGAAGGCGATGACTTTAAAAAAATGTGGTGAAACTGAGTCACTAGATCAGAGAGTAAGGTACGCGTATCTATCTTATTTTAAAACAGTCACGTGGCCATGAAATGCAGTCCATGTGTCGATTCAGGTTCTCGTCATTTTATGTTATGTTTTACATAAAACCTTGAAGACATCAAACACAGTTGCAGGTCTGTGTGCAGAAAGAATTAGTCAGATGTGTGTTTGTCCGACGTGCATTGTCCTCTTGCCTTCATTTACAACCTGCCCCTGTTACAGTCTGGCACAGGCCAGGTTATAGAGCTGATCACGTGGCCTCCTCTGTTTGTCAACCGTGTTGACAGAAAAGGTGAAGTCACAGCGAAGTTAGCTAAAATTTAACTAACTCAACCGTTAGCAGCCCGCCATTTTCTCACCTGCCAAGAAAAAGTCGTTTGAAACAAGATGGCGGCCAGCAATACGATTAGGTATTTCTTGTTCGCGTTCAACTTCTTGTGTTGGGTAAGTACGAAACAAGTCTCACTGTGTGTGTTTGTGAACTGTTGTGTGCGTTAGATGCTGTATTCATCTGGTAGGACAGCTAACGGTACGTGTGTGTGCACATCCATGCAGCCGCGGGGGACTTGAGCAAATAATGATCCCATGCTTTTTTGGGCGATGATCGCATGTGATAGACGTTTTGAACAAGCATTTTTGGTGCTTAGATTTCTCTTCTTGTGTTTACAAGATGTTGAGCCGTTTTCTGACACACCTGAGTTGTTTTATGTTGAGAAAGCAACCGCGGAAAACTATCGCTTGAGGTGTAGTTTGGATATTACGCAAGGTAGTGCTGGGGGGGGGGGCTTATATCTTGCTACATTTGTTGCAAGTGAGTTCAGTACCTTGACTTCCCGTTCAGTCGACTTGAAACTTCACCAAATAATCAGTCACGATAGAGACAGTCACGATCGTGGTGTATACGTAAGTTAGCAAGCGATCCACAGAGAATTTGAAACCGTCGTGAATGGTACATTTGAAATAATCTTTAGCGCAAACGTTTAGCGAAAAGGTAGGTTCGTACATGCCGTGCATAATCATGTAGATCTGAGTATTAAACAAGTGAATATTGTATTCACAGTGTATAGTACGCACACGCATGCTGTGCATTTCTGTGCAGAATCTGTTAGTCGACCTAAGTCAAATAAATAGGAGGCTAGACGCCTCACACGAGGGCCCATAAATTTCTACCTCATAACTCACGGTGTGACAAGGATACGAGTGGAAGTTAATGTTTAATCGCGACACCTTAGACGAACTGATCCTTCAAGGTTCCAACAAAATGGGTAACAGTGCGTACATTTTCCTATCTGTCCAATCAAACAGTATATTCTATAGACTTAATTATACCACATATTGTGTATTTATACCAATTTATACCTATTTTATTGATCTGAGTTATAAAGGTCTTCAGGGCGTTGCAGAGATCAGAATGCAGCCCATGAATGTTCGACTGTTATTGAGACGTACCGTTGATTAAAGGTCATTAAGGTAGACAGGTCAGAGGTCATAACCGACCTGTAGTTTACAGAGTAGGTAAACAGGCCCCTGGTAAGAGCTATTGATTCAACACAACTACGTGCATAATAATGAATGGTTTATTTATTTCAAACCAATGTCACAAACATCGCAGCCAAAACGGCTGAATTGCGTTAAGACATTTACAATTCGAATTGAGACATGGATGAAACACATTTACATAAACATGCAGTTAAAATTCGAATATAGACATGATTAAAAATATTCACTTAAACATGTAACATTTACACAAACGTACGGAGTAAAAAGGTCTATACAGCATTGTATTTGTCTGAGTGTCAGTTATAACTACAAGTTAAAAACAAATGTCAGCGCAACTATTCGAAATTGTGAACAGGTGGAACAGATAAAATAGCCAAGGGCAGTAACATGTCTCATGCACTGTGGTTCAAAAGTTCAATCATAAAAGGTAGCGCACTGTTCGTGTACCGTCCAGTACGGCCGTACAAAGGGTTCAGTTTATGTGATGAACGGGTCTGACGGCCACTGATTTTAGATAGTTTTAGAGCAACATCCAATCAAAAACGCCCATAACCTGTCCATACGTAGAACTGCTTTATATTTGAACAAACAACTTACAACTTACATGATATCATTTGACCGAACTAAGTTTTTCTTTATCAATTGCCTTCATAAAAACTACAAAAGGTCATACATACCATATTTTTCCCAGAAGAGCGATATTGAAACAAAATTAACAGATTTGTGTACCTTGTAGTAGGTTATGGTGGCATATAAATTTTCAGGGAGAAATATTGATGTTTAATTTTTTGCCTCCCCCCCCCTTAATTAGGGCACTAGAACGCTTCGCCTATTTTGGGGATTCTAAATTCAAGGTGACGTCACGGCGCTCCTGGGCAGAAATGGAAATGCCTCCATATCCAAATTTGCTTAGAATACATTTAGCTACAATTGTGCCAAATTTGGTGCTTTTAGACAAAAGTGCACAATTTTTCAGCTATGCCGCTGGACTAATAGGAAAAGTGTGCATTTCTAATGCTAATACATGTAGTACTATTAATTCTAAAGAAGCGTCGTTTTGTCCCCAGATTGCCGGGCTGGGCATGTTTGCCATCGGCATCTGGCTGCGTGTGGACCCGGCTCTCTCACCGGTGGTGACGTTAGAACTGGGGTGGTTCTACACGGCTGTGTACGTCATCATTATCGTCGGTGTCGTCACCATCGCCATCGGCTTCCTGGGCTGCTGCGGCGCCATGAGGGAGAGCCCCGCGCTCCTCAAGATAGTGAGTCGACTGATGGGTTGATTTGTATATTTCATTGTTTTATCAAACAATTTATTTATTTATTTATTTATTTCATCTTAGGACGGCTGGGTAACCCTATTCAGCTTACATTAGCTGTTTTCCAAGGGGGCCCAGCAAAATTACACAAGACATTGTTACATACAGTAAGACAACATACAGTAAACATTAAAGTCCGATGCGTCAAAACAGAGTCATAGTCCTATACTCAAAGCTCTAGATCTAGCCGTTCAATGGTCAAAAACACGAAAATCAAGGAATGGAGGTCAGGTCAATAATTGTCTATTGCAAATTCTTGCCCGAGGGCTAATTGCAAGAACAGAAGAAACATGGTATATAAACAGACAATTAGTACATATAGAACTACAGATAACTACTAAGAAACTACTGGTAAAAACTACTGGGTTTGACTTCTTTTTTGAAGACGGATAGACGAGAGTAATTTTCTTTTCTTATCAAACAATATAAACCTGGCTTCAACTTCTCACTCACTCACTCAGCACCGCATGCTCCGGGGGGCGTCGCGCCTCTCCAAGTTGTCTTCCAGATGGTTCTGTCCTGCGCCCTCTGCCAGGCTGTAGCTACATCAAGGCCCACTGTGCTGAAGTCTGCATTCAGCTGGTCTCCCCACCTACCATCAACTTGCTTTGTTAAAATCACCATCAACTTGCTTTGTTAAAATCACCATCGTTTGCGTACCATGTATAGTGGGCAAAGGAGAAGATATCTAATTTCTATTGACTGTTGATTCTGTTCATGTATTCATTAACAACCAACCTCTTTTCTACCATTGTACTCGTAATCTTCATGTTTGCTGTTTCGTACTATGAGTCGTTGTATTGCAGCAATTATGTTTGTAATGGGCCTCTATGCGCCCTTTTAAGTATTTTAACATGATTTGCATAAATGTATTTTTTTGGTATACATTAGGCCACAACAAGTAAATTTCATGGATGACATCCTACGCAGACTCTAAATATAAGGCGACAGGACGAAAAAAAACGACAGCCCCCCAAAACAAGATTCCTACATTTTTAAATTTCGACATCATAAACCTTGTTAAAAAAGAAAGATACCTATATTGTGCTACGTCCACTGCCGACTATCACAACAATCATTTCTCACTGATACAACTTTGAAAAACAATGGCTTTCAATCATGATTATACCAGTTTTTAATCATTGTACCATGTATATATAAATGGTTTCAGTGGGAACATCCTATGTACACAGCCACCATCACATATAAAAGGAATGAAATACATCACTGCATCAAAGTAAAAGACAAAACATTAAATCAGAGTCTTGTCCCTTCTCTTCATATATATCTGCTATCCATGTACCGGCATGGCAACAGACATGCTATGTTTGCCAATTTTTGGCATGTTGACTGTCAGAGGGCAACAAAATCAGGCAAAAATTGATGTCATCCATAAACATTACTTGATGTGGCCTTAATGAACTTTAAATGGAACATTCCTTTAGACATTTGAAACCGTGGGTGGTTACAGATAGGACTACAGTATAGAACGACAGGTGATCTATTTAAATTTTTCGGCAGTACGTTTGTCTCCTCGCCTTGATGTTCATCCTGGAAGTGATAGCAGGCATCCTGGGATGGGTGTGGAGGAATGAGGTATGTTGGTACTACGTCCATCTGGGAACAGGGTAAACAATTACATAAGCCTTGGCTATCAAGTTATAGATTATATGTACATGTACATGTCAACTTTGAAGGAGGCTTGTTCATTCATTTATTTTTAATTTATCTTTATCTATTTATTTGCCTTTAGACTGGTCTTGGACTTTGGCTCATGGGAGCCCACAAAATAAAAATAATGAATAATAATAACATATATCAAAGTACACATGTATAGGTAACATAGGTATGTAAATCATACATGAATCATAAATTAGCACACACATGATATTTGGGGGCTATGTCAAAAAATATACAGTAACTCTTAACAAAATAAATATTAAATAATCACATTAAATAATAAATACGAAACCAAGCAAAGAGACACAAATTACTGTCCAAACACAGAGTCCAGTTGCGTTCAGGTAAAAAAAAGTATATTGGTAAGATATTAAACTATACTAGATCATATTCACCAATTTCACACTTCCCATAATGCCTAGTAACGGTCACGGATATGACGTAAGACCACCCCCTCCCCCTTCCTCGATGTAATATTTCCAACAAGTTCTATCCACAAACTGGTCAACTATTGTTTTGACTTATTTCTCTAGTATAAAGCGCATGCCATAATTGCATTTTTGTTGGAATTTAATAGAGAAAATGACGTACCTTCTATCGTTCTAATATACGTAATGCGACCGTGAGAGTCTTCGGTAGAAGGTAGAACGATAGAAGGTTCGTCATTTTCTCTAATTTCAACCAAAAATGCAATTATGGCATGCGCTTTATACTAGAGAAATAATTCAAAACAAAAGTTGACCAGTTTGTCGATAGAACTTGTTGGAAATATTACATCGAGGAAGGGGGAGGGGGTGGTCTTACGTCATATCCGTGACCGTTACTAGGCATTATGGGAAGTGTGAAATTGGTGAATAAGGTACTACTCAGAATACCAGCCTGGCGGACATGGGAACTCCAGAACGCACTCAGTTGAGGTCGGTGTGTTGTGCAGTACACATCGTACCTGGTAGACGGTGCAACAAGAAATCTCGGCGGGACTCGCAGCACAAAAAAGTGCACTTGCTTACTCCTGCTCGAAAACATCTAAAACATAAAAATGGATTTCTTTCAGAGCATCGCATCCATTGCTATAATTGTTTACAAACGCTTTCGTGAGTTATTAATTGTCTTTATTGACATGTGTAAGAGTAGATGATAAAGTTGTGATAGTTGCTGTTGTTCAGTAGTCGAGAACGCGATGTATTTCTTAGTTGTGATGTTTTGTACAACATTTTCATCATAGTGTTATTATTACATTGTAATATCATAAAACATGGACTGAGCCACTTTCACATCTAAGATGGCACACCCCAGTTTATTTTGGGTCTCAATTCGATTCTGCATACCCTCAACTCTAGCGACCATCTCTTTCAAGAAATACTTCTTAAGCCAAAACACTGTGTTTGCAAATGAAGGATATCCCTGTAGCTACGAGTACAATAGAATTTCAATTTCTTTCACCTCTTACATTTTAGTAGATTTTAGGGGAGAAAGAATTTTGAAAAAAGATGCCAAAAATTGGCCACATCACTTTGCAGCCATGTTAGTATTTAATACCATTTTGAAGCAGATTATGAGAAATGTTAACTCAAACATGAACCATCGAAACCCCTTTGTCACTTTTTTCCGGGCACTACCTTGCTAACACCTATCACCAAAATCGTGGTTGTTCTGCAGCTTGACCAGTGGGTCCGAAACTCCTTCAGTCGGACCTTCAACGGAAGGTACATCGACGACTTCTCCGACTCCTTCCAAGACGCCGTGGTGTACTTTCAGAGAAGGGTGAGCTTCTTAAGCCTTAAGTTTTATATGTATGACCCTGTGCAGCAAACCTTGAAATAAAGAACGAATTCTTTGTGTTTTGTCTTGTTTTGTAGAGAGATAATTCATTGCGGTCAGGAGGAGAAAGGTCAAGGTCAGACAATAAATGTATAACATGGTACAGGTTTAATGATTGAAGTCCTTACAAGGTCATAAACATGTAGTCCTAATAAATCCATAGAAATAACGTTACAGCCTTACACATGCTTCTGTAAAAGCTGTATATATACTGAATAGCAAAGCTCTTTCATCACAACCATTTATTTTTCAAGAGCCAACGTTTCGATGACCGTCTGTCATCTTCATCAGGGCAATTATGACTGGTTTTCTATGCACTGACACTAGATGTTACTTGGTCACTAGATGTTACTTGGTCCCTATGATGTAACAATGCCTAGTATGTATGTCACAATTACACTACGTTCCGGAATGCATTGTAAACAGTAAAAACTAGCTTAAGTGCACTGTGAACTATGTAACACCTTTAGTGCACTATGCACCAAGTAACATCTAGCGTCAGTGCACAGTAAACCAATCAGAATTGTCCTGATGAAGATGACAGACGGTCATCGAAACGTCGGCTCTTGGGAAAATAAATGGTTGTGATCAAAGAACTTTGCTATTCAGTCGTTTACCAACCTGATGAAATTATTCACGGATGTATATATATTGTGTTCCTTCCGTAGATGGACTGCTGCGGACTGAACACGCCCGAGGACTGGGAGAACTGGCAGGAGGTGGACAGCTGCCCGTGTCCCATCGACCGGTACGTCAACCAGTACGACTGGACAGAGAAATGTCAGGAGGACAGGAACGACTACACCCTCAGCGTCTACAAGGTCAGTCTTCTGACAGAATGGAAATGCCGGTGGGGTCGTGTGGCGTAGCGTTAGAGTGCGCGACTCGGAAGTAAGAGTCACGGGTTCGAGTCCTGACATGCCATCGATCTTGTGCCCTTGGGAAAGGCACTTTACACGGCTTTCCTCACTTAGCTCAGGTGAAAATGAGTATTGTCCTGTAATGTATTTGTCCCCTGTGTTGGTGGTGGCATTAATATAAGTTGAAGAAACTTGAGTGTGTCATCACCACGTCTTGTGACTACATGTTGGAATAAATAAAAAAATGATAATTCATATCACCTCTTCTCCGCTACCTAGGGAACTCCCGGGGGTTCAGTAGGAAATTAACCCTGTAACACTCCATTCATGAGCATACAGAAAAAGAGACACACGCAGTAAAAACACACAGAGAAAGAAGAAAACAGAATGGAATAGAGGGGTAAATAAAACACAGAGAACAAGGAGGGAAAGGCCAAGTACATTAAACACATGTCTATTACTGCTAGATTTACTGGATTTATTATCTATGTTTATTAAATATGTAATCTCTGACTTTAGTCTTGCTGGGACAACATCTCCCTGTGGCTGAAGAACCACATCATCGTTATCGGGATTATCGGGTTCGCTGTCGGCGCCGTGCAGGTTCGTAACGTCAACACTTCCTATTGATTATATGCCAAAAAGCAGTTACTCAAGCAACTGGATATGATTTTGAAAACGTCAGACGTTTCAGGTAGTATCCACTAGCTTTCGTCAGTGACTGAGAGACCAGAGGGGAAAGCAGGTTTATAAGCACAACCTATTGATTGATATGCAAATAAAGTGAAGACAAATTTTTGAAAGTCGAAAGTGGAAAAAAAGGTCAGACAAGTCAAGACAAGATAACGCAAATTAGAAAGTTCCTGTTTTTTCCCCTCTGGTCTCTCAGTCACTGACGAAAGCTAGTGGATACTAGCTGAATTCGAAACGTCTGACGTTTTCAAAATCATATCCAGTTGCTTGAGTAACTGCTTTTTGGCATATCGTATTACCTGGATGTCTAACCTTCATCGACGTTTCTATTGATTAGTTCCACCGTGTTTTCTATGTTAGGCCACACCGACTTAATTTTATGGATGACATCCTCTGAAGACCCCCATACTAGTGCGCGCGGGCGAATAAAAAAAAAACAATTCCGGCCAAAAACAAAAATTGTACTAAACCACAGGAATACAAACCTTAGGTATAATTGTAAATTTCCAGCAGTACATGTACATAGCGACATATACGACAAGCCGGCACATGCTGACTTTTTGCGGAATCTATGAATCGGCACTGTACGTGTGTACGGGTACTGAGTTCTTGCCATCGTGGAGCTTTGGTAGCCTGGTTACCACCGGCTCTGTATTGTCATTAACCATGGACTACCCAGGCCTAGAGCCAGGCCAGAGCCTTGAAGGACGAGATCTTTTTTTTTAGAACAGGCGAAAATCAATGCGCGCGCGGATGTCATCCATAAAATTAAGTCGATGTGGCCTTATCGGATAAAACCCCGATAGATCCCTCGTCATGTTTTGCCATTGGGGCCATATGTACAAAACAGCAAGCTACCTTCTCATAATCTATAATTGATGATAAGCTATACTTATTTTCAAGAAATATCTCGTCACTCTTTAAAGTTTTCATCTCTAAATTAGCTAGTCATCAGATGTTCATCAGATGAAGGCAAGGGAGTAAACCCCCCTCCCCACTACCCCACTCTCCCGTATGTATCCCACATGTGCATGGTCTTCCTCATGATATCTTGTAGTGTCTGGGCATCTATTGTGGAATCAAGATGATTCGACAGTTCGACAAGGGTGGCGAGGACGGGTTCCTGTCCATCATCAAGTCTCCGATTAAAGCCAAGAAAGCAAAGAAAGAGGTTCCCCTTGAGACAGTTACCACGACCAAGGACGAGGGAGAGTCTTTGGTGAAGGAGAAAGACCAGCCCCCGCCCAAAGAGCCCGAGGTGGAAGCGGCGGTGACGACGAAAGAGCCGACGGCGCCGGCGGAAGAGACCGAGCCCTTGTCACCCTCCTCGCCGGCGGAAGAGGCCGAACCTCCAGCGAAGGAGAACGAAGCATGACCTCGGTGCGCGTCGTGTTCACGAGTGCCCCTCTGCAGATCAGCTTATGCAACCCTGTAGATCAGATCTTAGAGCTCTTCCCCGCTTGGCTCTTTCAGACAAGCTGCTGTCATTAGCGCTCTCTCTGTGTTAGAACTTTTCATACACTGTGGACTTGCAAATGCTACCATTTGTAGACCATTTCTTTTTTTTTTCAAATAACGCTGCTGTCTTATCTGCAGTTATTTGGCTTCCCCTTTTGCGTTTTAAGCTCTGAGATGATTCTTTTTAAACCCCAGGAATTCCAAGTAGATTCGTCAAGTGGCAATGTGTAATTATTGGAATCTGAGGAATCATTCTAATCATCAATACTCATCAATATGTGTTGCTGATAGCATTGTTGATTCTATGGAGCTTTTGATGATGTTCTGTGTGTGCGATATGATTTTACCATATGTTGATCATTCTACATGATTCTTCATGTTCCCTGACCACCATTTATATATCGATCTGTAACAAGGCAGGGACATTATTTCATCCTTAATGCAGCTATATTCATGATGATGATCATGTCACTGAAGTAATTTTGTGACGCAACGATAATCTACCAAATTCACTACCAAAATGTTCTTTTCTTGTTTTCCTTGTATAAAGAAACGGTATCTTGTAGCTTGAGTTTTCTTGTTGTAGCATGCAAGAAAACGAATTTTCTTGAAAATCCCCCTGATATAAGAAACATAAGAAAAATAAGAAAAAACATTTTTGGTAGTGTTGACATTGATTCGGATGATTTATGCGTGTTTTGGGTCGGTTTATGTAAATAGTCATGAATAACTCTGATTAACAAGTTTGAAATGAGATTAACGTAATTATCTAGGACCTATTTTGGTGAACATCTAATCACGACTTTGAGGATATGGTATCAGATGAGATGAGGATATGGATTCTGAGGATGTGACAATGACATCTTTGTTGATGCTGTTATTGTTGAACTTAATGAAACATGACAGTTGGTATCTTGTTTTTCTCCAGCTTGCTGGGATCGTTGCCGGTGTGATCTTCACCCTCCGGCTGAAGAAGACAGCTGTGGTTGTGTGAACCGCCGTGACTCAGATCATCTGTAGAAGTTTTAGATAACTTGATTAGGCCACACCGATTTAATTCTATGGATGACATCCTCTGAACACCCCCAAACTAGTGCACGCGGGCGAATAAAAAAAAATTCCGGAAAAAAAAATACAAATGCTACTAAACCACAGGTATACAAAGCTGGTATTGTGAATTTGCGGCAGTACATAGCGACGCATACGACAAGCCGGCACATGCTGGCTTTTTGCGGAATGTATGAATCGGCACGAGTTCTTGCCGTCGTTCGGTAGCCTGGGTGCCATCCTATCCAGAGTTACAGCCGGCTCCGTATCGTCACTAACTACCAGGCCAGAGCCTCGGAGGACGTGATCTTTTTTTTTTTTTTGACAACAGTCGAAAATCAATGCGCGCGCGGATGTCATTCATAAAATTAAGTCAGTGTGGCATTACCAGAAGGTCTGGAACAGTTGGCTAGAAGTTTTTAAACCTTGGATGTCTTAGAGGTAGTGGTTGTTCCCTGATCTTGGGTTTCTTGACGCTTTTATTTCAGTTTTATATCCTGACATGGTTTCACATTTCATTTGGTTTTCCAATTTGAGTCCAGTATTGCATAAAAGCACATTGTTTTCTTTTTTCTCTCTCAATGCTTTAGAATTTAGTGTATTCAAATACTATAGAAGAAGGGTATGACTTTCAAGAATCTAGAATTGAAGTGTTTCTTTATCTGACTTATTGATACTACCTGTCGTGATTTGTAAAGGTCATTTCAGATATCACACATAGACGTGTATCTATCTATAGTACCTTTATTTTCTATGATTATGATGTATGGGTAAAATGATAAGATACAAATTAATGAAAAAATTACTTCTAGGTTAGATTTTGTAAAGGTGGTGTGCTGTATCGGTTGAACAGCTTACAGCCGTTAATTCTGTTATTTCCTTCTTTAATTATATAACAGAAGCGCTGTTTTAGTTATGTGTTAAGAATCATCATGATTTTCCTAGTTTGTATATAGACAGTTATTAGTTCAGGAAGACATTGTCTAATGAATTAGTCACCTGGAGTAACTAGTCATTCCAACTGTAATTTTTGTTTTGTTTCTGATTGACAGAATTGCATAATAAACCCAATAGACCTGTTTTTGTTGTTGTTTTTTCAAGACAAGCTGCACGGTCTAGTATAGAAGTAAAAAGGGTAGGTTATAAATTCCCCCTGTTCTATATACTAGTACAAGACTTTATAGTCCTTATGAAACTAGAGTTCGGAGGGCTCATGCCTTCGACAGATATTGTTTTGGAGGGTGTTGTGTGTGTGTATAGTGTAGGTTTTTTGAAGATGATTATCGTAGTTATAGTGGTCAGAGAGTCCTTTTGTGAACGAAGCAACATACTATTTACCTAGCCTGTACCATGTCTACGGAAATACGGATCGTAGAATTCAGCAAAAAGGAGAGGAGAAATGGACTGGGGAGTCTGGTTAAGAAAGGTTAAGAAATGCTTTCTTCCCTCCGATGCGCGGCGATCCAAACTTCAAAATTCCTTCAATTAGTTTTCTTCTATACAGCCAGCGTAGTTGAAGCGTGCGGTGTCGACACTACAAATGTTCACACAAAATGGGCAATTGTCGTAGAGGGGGGCATGGTCCCACCTCCATAGGGGGGGAAGCTCTAGTATTTTTCTTTCTCCAGATACAAATGGAAGCCATTTCCTGCAACTTCTGGTTCAAGTTGTTCCTCTGCAAAATATGGATGGGAAAAAAATCTCGAAGCAAAAAACTATTCTTGCATGCAAACACACTTTATTATGCTTCTGATGCCATCTTGCCAGCTTTGGTTATTTTCACCTACTGCCCTGGAGATAAAATACAAGCAGGTAGGTACTAAAGGTAAGGGACTACACTACACTTCAACCATGTACAAAAAATAAACCAGCCAACAATGCAGGACACGAACTGCCAGAAAAAATGTTAACATTTGGACCACATATTCAGAATATACTGCTGCATTCTGAATTAACACTCACTGAATTAAAAGAGAAAAAAAACTTCTGAAGAAAAAAAGTATTAATCTGCACAACATTTTGATTGGTTTCCTATCCCTTCGTTTGCCTAAAAATCGATAGTGTGATTGAATCAATTTTAAACCCCCTAAAATTAGCTAAATCATCGATTTAAGCTTATTGCGCAATGGACTTGCCCTATTACCTTCATAGGGAAATACCGCTATCATGGACCAGACAATTTTTGTCACGTTGCCGAATTTTGCGGCCGCCACATGCTGATGTTGCGGTACGGTAGGGAATTTACTGCGGTTAGTTGGCATTTGGTTAGTTGGTAAACGTATCGGCTTTTAAACTTATTTTCGGGGTCGAGGGCTTTGGTTTACAAACAAATCAGACAATTAGCGTTGTTTACACGACTTCAAAACGCTAGCGGGGAGCCCGATGTTCCACCAATGACATCGTCGACAGCGATGCTCTCGGTAACGTCGTGTGAAATGTTCATTGTTCATTGATTATCGCCGATTCACGCCGACGGCAAAATGGACGTCACTCAGCCCCGAAATCAGGAAATTTTTTACAAATTTTGCGAAATTATCTAGAAAATCGGGATGTAACACCATAAATTTGGAAAGCAGTATACTGGCGCTGAGCTGGGAGTAGCCTGGCGCCGCCGTTCATACGTCTCAGAGTTTTAGCCCACAACAGCGCTGGACTTTGTATTACTGCGGAACACCACCGGCCTGTCCTCCAGGGACGCCCCAGGGGTATGCCTGGCAGTGCTAGGTCAGCCTCGGGTGACCTACCCAACACGCCTTTCCTGTCACTGCAATTTAACCTGAATATTGGAATAAATGTCTTCTTGTTGAAACGTAACATTTTCACACGATCGAGTAGATCCTTTAGTTGCCGGTTATACCTCAAGTCGGGGATACTGTTTGGCTATATCCGTACTGTTTGGTAGCCCATATGGTGTACATTTTACCCTAGCCTTCCAATGTTGGCTTCTCAATTTCACCTCCACATGACCCATAGGAAGACTCCTAGTACAATCCTACCCAAAGTGTTTTTCCTTACGTACGTCCGATTATGCATGAGTTCTCAGCTAACACGACTTTCTTCTGATGGCCCAAGAAAGTTTCAAACCTGCCCTTTCACCCAGGTCATGCCAAGTTATTTTTTCATACTAGATCGTACAGTATACAGTCTTTTTGCCCGATAGAAACAAAATTTGTGATGTGGTTCAAATCATGTTTGCATCATAGTAACTTACCGTATGCACAAATAACACAAATGCATGAATGTTTCGAGGCCAACTTTGCAGGAAATACCCCAAGGCCAGATGTGCCGCACTCTGAGGACACAGAGGTGTCAATTAGCAGCGGTTAAGCATGCAAGTTGTTGACAGGTGATGTTATTTCAACAAACAACTGTTAGAATATTTTTCCACGGTTGACAGCTCCCTGCCTGTCAATTGTTATTTTAACCTACATTTGTAGTAACGTTACATAAAACGATCGAGAAGGAGCAAAACCTGGCCTGCACTTATGAAAATGTTCTCACAAAATGTCCCATTGCACTTACCCACTACCTACTAGAGACTCCAAACTTGAAACCCTCAATCTAAACCCCTTGACCTATCCACAATAAAAAAAAACAAGACATTGCTTTCCACAACTTGAACTACTGACAAACTAACCAACAATCACCAAAAGTCAACTACAGCAACGTACGGACCTCCCACTTCGCCAATTTTGCAAGGGATCTGTTGTTTCAACAAACAGGAAATTTTTTCCAGCTATCCTTGTTTGCATAAGTCAATGTAATCCGCAGAGGGTGGAAACCAAAAAGGTCTAGTGCAGTATAAAAGACATTTAGATTTCTTTTATCGATTAATCAAATTGGGTCACAATTTACATAATTAATATCTGTTAATGTTCCTCTTCCTCTTGATTAAATATGCCACCATTTTAATTGTTCTATTATGGAACGCAGCAGATTTATAGACTTTTGTGATTAATTATGTAAATTAGATCTTGATTTGCATAATTGCCATCTAATTAGGTCAAGCATCACTTAAGCTACCGAGATACCAAAAATAACAACAATCCGTCAACCGGTTCTTGAGCTATCCTACTTCAAACATTTTCAAACAAATGCCTCTGCATTTCCCAAACAAGCTGCTACGGGACCCAAACTTATGGCACTTTTTTGTGAGCACAAGAGCTACGTACCATCTAAAAATCATGACCCTAGCACGTCCAGATCACGAGATTTAAAAACCAGAGGTTTCGCTGCAGTAATTTCTAATTCAATGACGCGGGGACCCCCGCGAAGCCCATATCCGAACTTGACCTTGGTATTTTCAATGGTAACTTGCCAACTAAAAAACATGAACATCCATTTAAAGATTCTCGAGTTATCTTGGTCACAAGAAAAAACACAAAAAACAAAGGTCAACTGCAGTGACATAAAAAACCCCACGGGGCCCATCTTTGAACTTGACCTCGGCATTCTCAACGGTAACTTGCCCACTAAAAATCATGAACATCCATTTAAGGATACTCGAGATATCTTGATGACAAGGAAAAAACACCAAAAACCAAGGTCAACTACAGTGACTTAGGAACCCCCCACGAAGCCCATATTTAGCCTTGACAATGGCCACCCCCAAATCAACCCGCCTGCCAAAAATCGTGAACCTCGGACCTTGCCTTCAAGAGTTATCGTGCCTAATCTGCCAAACAATGCAAAAGCGATTTCATAGCCTTCTCCGAAGGCATAGCCTTCAGTCGAAGGCAATAAAGACTAAGCTTTAACTTCCAACACTTAGATACAGAATTGGGACTTACCCCAAATTTTCGGTTGACTCCATCAACCTTGTTCACGGAATGGACCCGTCTACTCTTGGAACGTGACGTCAGAGACACGTGACCGTAGTAGCGGGTCATAACCGAAAATTTGGGTAAGTCCCAATTCTGTATCTAAGTGTTGGAAGTTAAGTCTTTATTTCATAATGATTTGTACCAACACAGATGAACTTTTATGCTAAGTTTATAGAACCTTTTGTCTACTACTTTAATTTTGTCAATGTTCCGTGAGACTTTAGTAGTCAGTAAGCAGAGCCTATCTGCCGATACTCCCTTTTCTGGAATCTTTCTAACAGCGCACTGTCACATAATTAAAGCTTAAGTTACTTACAAGTAATCAAAACTAACAGAATTGGATAAGAGACAAGTAAAATTACAATGTATTCAGTATTTATTCATATTTATCCGAGATAATGTCAAATCAAGTACAAAACATTGACTTTAATACATGTTAGTGAATTACTCACTCATGAATAGGAGATGATCTAACTACAAACAAGGTGAGCTAACTACAAACAAGATGACAGTTGCTATTTCCGAATTGTAAACAGGTAAAAAATATTTGCACGGTTGTTATTGCAATCAGGTAAGACCGTAATTTACAGAATAGCCGAGGAGACAAACGTTTATATTCTTAACAAGTGTTCTATGATGGTATTCTATGATAAAATGTAATAATCATACACAAAGCTAAAAGTACGAAATTTACAATATGGCCATTTCTACAAGATCGACCACTTTTAAGATTGATAGAAAATGTTAGATGAAAAAGTCTAGCTCTAGTACTACATATTGTGTACATCCTATAATATTTGGTCTCCCCCTTCGAATTGTGAAACTGAAATTTCAAAACAACCCTAATGTGTTACTTGATTCTTAGCAGGAAGTAGATGATAACAATGACATAACACTCACTTCAATATCAAACTAATAAAATGTGAATACAAAACCCTCAACCCTACTTGAATTTTACAACATCTTTTCATTTGTTACATAGAATTCTAGTTAATAATTAAGGGTTAATGACCCGCCCCGAGGTGAATATGGTGTGATAAAGCCTTGTCAGTTGCTATAACCACCGAATAAAGCCACCAAGTGAGCGCAGCGAACGAGGTGGCTTTATGAGGTGGTTATAGCAACTGACAAGGCTTTATCACACCATATTCACCGAGAAAGGGCGGGCCATTAACGCTATTATCATATAGCTTACACGATAGCCTATCCAAACTGATGCAGTAAGTGACACAATGTACAATTTACCCGTTGCACATGCTGAATAGAACATAGTTCCATCTGGAGTCACCTGAGGTCACTGGGTAGAGTTCACGTTCTATGTCTCCTATCTGGGTCACAGGCAGGGAACAGGTGTTCTTACGGGAGTCACCCGAGGTCATTGGAACACAACTCAAGTTATTTTTGGATATTTTAGAACTAGAGCCGTGTTCTATTGGGTCACCTGAGGTCATATGCGGGTGATTATTGGGTTTGTTTAATGTATGGATTGGGATGAATAAATACCCGATTTTGACTCTATTTGTGACATTACGGCGTCATAAGGAATGTGGAATGGAGCCTTCTGATTGGTCAACGTCACCCGGCTATATGATAATGATAGATATTCTTGTTTCCCGATGAAGGAATGGGGTGTCAATGTGCACGATTACCTCTACTTAAAGATACAAAACTATTAATACTTGAACTATGCATACAACTAGTACTATTCATCTAACCCAACTACATATCAAGTCACAGCGCCCTGTACATCCACCTCTAAGCACTTGAAGATAAAACGTCACCAACTACACAAGGTTTTAAAGTTACCTGTCTATTATACGTTGACGTGAAAATCATAATGATAATTCTAGTAAAAAGATATTCATTTTCCTTATGCTTTCCATTTTACTTGCCATTTGCATATGTATATTGCATATGTATATGTCATGATGAGCAAATAAACGGTGCGTAGAAATGGTCACTTTCAATGACTACATCTTTGAATGATTTGACATTGTCAATCGTCATTATCTTTCACCATAATAGGCCTGTTCATCGTCATCTTCATTGTACGTGCACGGCGTTTCCTTAGAAATTTAGGAAGACTCGTGGTGGGCCACAGAATTTTTATTAGACTATCATAATCCTTGCTTCCATCGTGCTGGAGAAATGGACCTATACCATTATTACGCCACAGTTTGTTTACCTGTTCTAAACTACATTCTAGAATGGTCAGTTCAAGAATAAAGATCATTTCAAAGTTTTCAAAGTCAGGTATGTTTGATTTTTGCTGCGTCTAGTGTTGTTGATGCCGTAATGGGTGATTTAGTTGTGACAGTAGATGAAAGTAGTACTGTATAAAGACCTTATATTAAGGCAAGCACACACCGCGCTTCGCACCCCTGTACAATATAAACATCGATTGACCGGCATTCATTGCGGTAAACAAACTGTGACGTAAAATAATGTTATAGGTCCATTGACGAGAGGATGACGTACTTCCGCTACATGACGTAACCTTCCTCCTCTCTCCAGCGTCTGAGGAGGTAACAGGCGCCCACAATAGCCGCTATCTGCAGGAACAGACAAAAACACGCCTTACCGACTAAACATATACAGAGACATGTAATATAGAATAAAAACCGCTAGATGGCGCATTACGTGCAGACGCAAAAGTACTTCATCAGTGGTAACATTGTGGTAGATTTTGTTTCTATCATTTACCAGACAACAATGCTGTTTTAGACTGTGATATTGACAGATGCCTGGTCACCTCTGACTAGAGAAGTTTAAGATTATACCCATCAGGAAAGCGATTATCAGTAAGTCTGTTGATGTATAGATGTATCAGTCTTCAGTAACAAATGGCAAAATAAACTTTGCTGGAAAGCCGTACCTCCAGGAGGCAGATTACCACCAGGATCCCTCCAATGATGTACATGTACTGTCCGACGAAGGCTGAAAACTCATCAACACATGGCTGAAACAGAGAAAACAGTCAACCAATCAGTGCATGAGTGAATGTGTCTTTAGTGGTAATGATCTGATCTCGGTCACTTTCAGTGCTCATCTCTTTTTAGTTGAATTTGTGACCTTCATCAACAGTTCCACTAACAATAGTCTCTAACCATAGACAGAATTGTAGACCCTTATTGTGTTGTGACCTTCTCCGATCTGTGTCCGAATAAAACAAGTTGACAAAAGTATGAAAGTCTGACGTGGTCTAAAATCTAATACATTGTAGTTTCTCCCGTTCACCGCCACCTACCCACATTACCTAATATGACAAAGATCCATTCCGACTTCTCGAGCTAAGTTGTTCACAGACCCTCAAACCCGAAAACAGTTGTTATAGAAGATACGTAATAATGAATGAAAGACCTTTATTGTACATCTGTGCTCTAACAAGCTAAGTACAGGTCATGGATAAACAGGGGAAAAGAATACAGCAATGACACTTACAAACTATACATACTAATGTGATCTACTATTTACAGGTTCAGCTTCTTCTCGCTTCTTGACGCAGTTAAAGATGTACGAACATATTGAGCTAATGATACAAGTTTCATGAGGAATTCGAATTTTTCTATTCTGTCTAAATGTCTAAAGCTTGGGAACTTATCTATTTCATAAATATAGAGGGAATCCCTCTCATTTCTATATAATGTGCAGTCAACTAAAAATTGCATTCATCTTCAATATTATCTAGATTGTAGTTTATATAATAATGAAAGAAATGATCTTTTTAGATATATTACAAGTACGTTTCCATACTTCCAATACTTGTCTAATATTGAAAAATTTATCTTTCTTATGCGCTTTGATCATCCTGTACTATACAAATTATATTTTTAACATCACTACATATATATATAAAGAAACGAGAAGAAGCCGAACCTCTGTATTAGAGTAGCTTTAGAGCTGTTTGTACCACAAACATGTATATTACCTATTTCATCTGTGCGCCTGTACTTAGCCCGATAGGGCATGAATGTACAATAAAGGTTATTATTATTATTAATAATAATGAAGCTTCCTACCTTGTAGACGTAGACCGTGTTCCCGTTGTCGTCGTGCGGCAGACACTCCCTGTCCCGTACGGCGGTGTCGGTGAAGATACAGAGGCAGGTGGCGCGCGCCTCGCTGCCCAGCGGGTCCTTCCAGTCGTCCTTGCTGTTCAGACCACAGCAAGTCAGCTGAAATACAAAGGAACGTGATATGAATGCGTTATTAGTTATTATCATATAGCCGGGTGACGTTGAACAATCTCCATTCTACATTCCTTATACCCCCGTCACATTGTCGACGAGCTTCGGCCGTATTTGTCAATCGCCGAAAGATCGGCCGATTTTGAGATCGACCGACGATCGCGCGTATTTTTGGCTTGAAGATCGTCGCGGTCACATTGTGCGAGGCTCGGGCGATCGCTTGGCAATACATCTATGATAATGAAGTCCCTATGACATGGCACGCAGATGAAGCAAGCCCGTGTATCCACCAAAAATGAATAGTTTGACCAATTTTAATGTTTGACTTGTCGTTATATTTTTTAAGCAACTTAATGGAGCAGACTGGCAGAATAAAATAGAAATACAAACAGGAATTCTGTGAAGGATCCAACTCAAATACTACCACAAATGCCACAAATTTACACTACCGTCTGGTTAACACAACGGCCACCTTTTTAACCAGACAGGAGTCGGCCGAAGCTCGCTCGACACACGGGCGTACGTCGCCCGAGTTGCGGTCGGCGGTCTATCGATGCTCGCACGATCTCTAGACCATTCTCAACCAAAATGTACAATAACATAATGATTATCATTCTGTCAAAATCTTTTTATACACGCGTACCTGAACAAAGCTAATAAGATGTATTGTTCTAAAACTTTTCCTGTATACTTCTGTCTAAAATAGTATGAATCTTCCGGTAAACAAGTTAGCCATTCAATGTTAACAAAGTAGACAGAGGTAAAAAGAGCCATGCAATATAAACTTCGACTAGTAAGTAATATCTATCACATGACGTTCTTGTGGGCACCCTTAGAAAAAAAGTCAACCTCATTCCAGAATGAACAAGTGTAAACGTCAATTTATTATACAATCTTCTTAAATAAGGCCACACATTTCCTAAAGGGATAAGAGTAAAGGATTTCATGTGCGTTCAATCAGTTGAGGTCAAAATCTAGGCATTTGGCCTTATATAGTTAAAACCTCGTCATCTTTTTAAAGTGGTTTTGTTCATTAACGAATGGACAAAAAGGACGATTTTGTCTATTCTTATCCTTTCTCGTAAACATAACTTTAACAATCAATGGGACGTTGCTCCTACAAACTTTACACAGTATATATACTGTCAATGCAATCTGAAATAAATGTCACAGGTGCTGAATAAATAAGAACTTCACAGGAGCTCGGCCGAGGCTCGTAGAACCTTCGTCCGACACTGGCTCGAAGCTCGCTCGAAGCACGCACGATTTTAAAAACTTTGCGCAAGTCGGGCGAGGTACGGAAGAGGGTCGCCCGAATATTTCGCGAAGCTCGCGCGAGGGTCGACCGTATTCAGCGACCGTCGCCCGATTTTCAAAGACGAAATACGGCCGAGACTCGTGGGATGTACGTCCGAATATCGGTCGACTCTCGACCGCACAGTGGCGAGCTACGGGCGAGCTACGCGCAAGCTGGAAACGAGCTCTGCGACCTCAAAAATCGCCGGCGACTAGTCGCTGATGTTAAGAACACGTTTCGCGTGTCAGCGAGCTTCGGCCGACTCCAAAAAATCGCCGGCGATCCCGAAAATTCGCGCGATGCTCGACGGAACATCGGGCGTACTTCGGCCGTAAATGTCGTTTAGAGCTCGCCAACTAGTCGGCCGATTGATTTACGCGCAATGTGACGGGGGTATTATGACGCTGCGCTCACTTGGTGTTTAGGCCATGTTGATTTGATTATATGGATGACATCCGCGCGCGCATAGATTTTCGGCCGTTTCCAAAAAAAAAAAAGTTTTCAACCATACTGTAAATCGTACAAAACGGTTCCAAAATGAGCAAAAATATACCGTAAGTTACAAAAAAAAATAAGTAAAAACTATACCAATGTCGTAGAATGTCAAAATCAAACGAAAAAACGACGAAATTGTAAAGAAACGAACTTGAAGACTAAATTATTTGCCAAACCATATTCTGTCCCATTTGTTCAACCCTCATAACCACGTAGATTTCATAATGAAAACAACTTTTTTTTTGCAAAACTTTTTTTTATTCGCACGCGCGCATCAGTTTTGGGGTTCCCGGATGATGTCATCCATATAATCAAATCAACATGGCCTTATAGCAACTGACAAGGCTTTATCACACCATATTCACCTCGGGGCGGGTCATTAACCCTTAAGTGTAACATGTTATGTTTTATCTTAATATATGAGGAAATGATGGCAGCTATGTTGCTATCTTTTTCTTTTCACACTTTTCGATCATCCACAAACATCATATTTACGTTAATAACGACGAACTCGAATTTACCTGGACAACCAGGAATGAGAAGAGGGATAGCTGGCAAACGTATGAAGAACAGTGCCTATCTACAAATGTAGCTCTATGCCTGAATGGGTTAGGATTAGGATTAGGCACGGTTCTGGATAGTTTCCGCGTATCCATGAAAGTAGAATTGCCCCAGGCGCGATCACAGCTACACAAGAACCGTGCCCGAGCATGGTTCTACTAAGATAAAGCATGATTTTAGATACAAAGTAGCCCTCTGTTAGTCCGGGGTCTACCGTATCAATATCTACGTTTGAGCTCTAAGACCCTCTAAGACTTAGTCTTTTACTTACGTGTTCTTGCCAGAAGATGAGGAAACTCTTGTATCTTTCATCGAATCTCTCCAGGGAAGTCCGCTGTCGCAGCTGACGCTCAAAGATCCACTTAATCCAAATGTTAATCTGTCAACATACAAGAAGGTCTCATTGTTTACCCAACAATGTTGTTTTGGAGGCACTCAAAGCGATTTACTTGTACTCAAAGCGATTTAATGGCAATAAAATAGGATTTTGAAAGGCAATTTTTCTCTTTTTAGTAATTTGAAACGACCGATCCTATCCCATAGGATTTTTTTCACCTGTCCTCCATAGCATACTGATGTCTGTGAGGCAAAAATGCGATGTCTCTGATGGGAAACAGTTGCTAGCTTCAGATGCTGGTTTTACATACTTATTGGCGGTACGAAAAAATGAAGGAACTCCTCATGTATCTTCTTTATGGGCTATTTCAAACGCTTCATTTTTTGTTTTGTCGCCCTGAAATTGCATATGGTGCCTTTAGACTAAATGTTCTTTTTAAAGAACATTTAAAGAACGTTTAAAAACGAATCAAATCATGTTCCACATAGCTTTCACAGCATTGACAATGTGCGTGTGAACCACCACAACCTTGCGTGATTATTAATACATGTATTGAAAGGCTCGGAAGCATGAAGTCTCTAGTCGACCCTCGTTCTTTCTCGCACATCCTCGCGAGAACACTCACCTGTCCTCCATACACGAGCATGAGGATGCCAGTCACGATCTGAATCAGCACCATGAATCCGTTGATGACGGCAAACTGTCAAGTTAAAGCAAAAGCCGTACAATTAACGATATACATTTGTCCATTTTACCTGCTAGTAGTATCATAATTGTACTATTAACCGCCCACTTACTCCATTATCTTTTCTACATCATAGAGAATAACTTTTCCAGGGAATGATTTCACTCGTATTTTTTAAAAATATGTAATACTATGAATATCTACAAATGTATAATTTGATCTCCGTAATCTTAATATCGCAAACTTGTAAATGTTAATGTAACTCACTGAATGTTTCTCTTCAAGTTTTTAAATTCTGCGTGAATCGTGATATTGTATTTGTAAATTAGCGACAATTCAGATCTTTTATGAGTCTGTTTTAAATGCTAATAAAGATTTCTTATCTCATATTACAAACATACATATACAGACAAAAACGTGAATACAAAAGAATTAACCTACGTACAAGTCTATTAATAAGTCAACATGTTGACTTTCGTTTTAAAGAGAATACTCCTCAGAACGGGTATATAATGGGACAAAAACGGCATATTTCAGGGCATCTACACTTGGGAGTAATTTTGGAGATATCTAGATGACGTAGACTTCAAATGCGTTATCTACAATTACTTTCATCACAGCTACTTTGACTCTGTGATATTTTTGTTTATATTGCTTGTTTTTTTTGGACACTGTTCAAAAAGATCTACAATCAAGAATATATAACTACTGGACACTGATACACCAAGGTCAACTTGTTCCGTTACTTCTGTTTTATTTGACTTTCCATGCCTCTTTTTTTTTTTAAATATATTCCGAAACATGTAATCACAAGACGTGGTGACAGCACACTCAAGTTTTTTCAACTTATATTAATGCCGCCACCAACACAGGGACAGTACAATGCTCATTTACACCTGAGCGAAGTGAGGAAAGTCGTGTAAAGTGCCTTTCCCAAGGGCACAAGATCGGTGGCATGTCAGGACTCGAACCCGGGGCCACTGGTTCCGAGTCGAGAACGCTGCCGCTACGCCACACGACCCCACATGCCTCTTTGATTTGATTATTTATATTTCTTTCCATTGATATGCAAACTCCACTTTTAGTTATTTACTTTTAAGTTGACATACCTTTTGACTATCTACCATTGTGATTTGATATCTGAACGATTATAATTACTTCTATGTAACCTTATTTCATTTGATTGTTAACGAGTTAGTTACGATTTCGTCTTGTTCACGATAAGTTTATCTATTTTTAGTTGACCTTTGTTAGTTCATCTTTAATCCTTTGTTATAATTATAATGTCATGTAGTTTTGTTGGGGTTATCCCCCCAGGAATCTTTGAAAAACGCCAATAGGCGACATATATTTCCTTGTTAAATAAAAATAAACAAGCAAACAAACAAACATTAGAAGTGACGGTGTGTACATACTTTGTATACGTTTGCCTTGACCATCTTTATAATACTTTGTTTCACTTATTATGATCTAAATAAAGAACTATCTTACCGTGGTGAGCATGCACTTGTTGGAGGAAGCGGCGCCGCAGCAGCCGCAGAAGGTGATGATCATGAGGTAAGCTCCCAGCGCCATGAGACAGAACACCGGGATGTACATCTCATCTGAGATCGGGTAACCTCGGATCATGCGGTAGTACTCAAAACGGAACGTCAGCCCCGCACATAGGAACAGAGCTCCTATAATCTATTATAGGATCAAAAGAAAATATGTAAGACTTTATTTGGGACTTGAGTCCAAAAATTGAAACAAATTTAACGGATCCACTGCTCACGGAGCCATGTGTGTCATCTGCATAACATGACGTCACAGAAACACAGATTGCCCATTACTCAGAAAGACTGGAGTTGTACAGTCGAAAATTTGGGTATATCCAACTTCTTGTGTTGGGAATGAAACTTGCTCTATACATTCAAGTGTTGTTATCGAAGAAAATCGGTAATCGCATGCATGTATATGATTTGATGGTCAGATTTATACACAATTTATATATATCCACACTGATATATTGGTATCAACTGTGATAGTGTGAAAATGGCTTGAAGTCGGCTTCTGCACGCGAGGTCATTTATTTCGATTTAAAAGATTGTAAAGGTTCCGCAGCCATCTTCAATATTTTTTCTCAAGGGGCATAAATAATAAAGTAAGGTAGCTAGCTAGGAACCTACTCAATCCCGCACAAACATTGATGATTTGCAGTGGACTGTATGTCATGTCATGAAATGAAAATACTCCAATCTTTCGTAAATAAACAAGTATATCTTCATCTGTTATTGTGATAACGTAATTTTGACAAATTTTCGTATGAAAATTTTTGAGGTGGCAGATAAACACTGTGCTACCATTTCAAGTTCTATTTCAATTGCAAAATTCATGTTTGACATTCAAAACTATCGTTTCGTTTCCATAGTACAAGCACAGTGAAACATGTACAGAGTTCAACCGAGTGACCTCTGGTACCGGTCTGTGCCGGCTGCAACAGACAGTGTTCTTACATCGCCTCAGGCGAATGAACTTCTTTTGTCTTCCCGCCATGTTGGAATTCAGTTTGGCCGCCCGCCATTTTGGATAAGGGAGTGATATCGAGGGCATTGACTCAAACTCCATTTTACCACAAAGACAGTGGTTGGATTATGAGTCATGTGGAATTCAACAGTACTGTGGACCGGTTAACAAACAAACAGTGCGTGGAATTACAGATATACTTGCAACATTTACACAGTTATTCCAATGAGGTTTAAACCAATCTACTTTAACCTCCCTGGTTAGTCTATTCTAAGTTTTCTTAGTACCAATACCAATCCATCGCATCCACCTGACTATGTATTCTTCAGAGGAGACACTGATTAAGTTATCCATACGGTAACGATGGAAAGAATTTGTATGACTTCATGATATAGAACATGTAACCACCTGTTAATGATACAGAATGACTCTATGATATAGAATATGTAACTGCTCGGGTCTGCACAATCCATAGGTAAAGGACAATGAAATTAGACGAAGGTATGTAACGTTATAGACAAACGTATAGTCACGATGATTTTGCTAGAGTAGAGAATGTTTTATTTTCCCCGATGTTTCCCTTGGCCGCAAAGTAATTGTGTTAGTGCATGTAGATATAAATACATCAGCAATGTTCCTCATTTTTATAAGAAAACCTGTTTGTCTGCTGTATTTTGAAGAAAAAAAAGCTATTACCGTTGCTTTAAACGACCGTTTTTCTTTACAAAACAAACAGGTGATATTGTTGTCTTCCGCTGGATTAGTCAGTTGCAAAAGTCGTTGAACCGGTTCTAACTGGGCGCGGATCATATTACCGGAGGCGAGGAATGACCCCTGCTGAACTCTTTCAATGGGAATGTAGTAAACAACAAGCTTCATCCGTAGTAAATTCAATTTTCTGAGACAAATATACAATGCTAGGCAATATTACAAGCAAAGCTTTCCCATAAGAAATGTGGATTTTCGTAAATAAACGACAACGAGACGTAAGACGGGTGAGGCAGCCTGACACACGAACCGCCATTTTCCAACATGGCGCTGTCACGCAGACAAAACGCGACCTTGTGTTTTCTGCAACCTGTTTGATTTCAGAGGATCACATTTCTGTCCATACGGGTGGTGCTTATGGATACGGACTCGACATTAACTCTGCAGAAGCGCTACATTTAACATGTCCTAATTTGAAACTTATTTCAAGGAATGTGCAAAAGTATGGAAAGAGAGCATGAAATCGACTCAAAAACTGTACATTAACTATGTTAAAGTTGTCACCTAAAATGAGGATTGCTGAGCGTCAAAGTGTTCTCAGCGTGATTTCGTTAATCATCGGTGATCAAATGACCCCAAATACTATTTCCTGAATTAGTGATTTGTCTGACAAATTGTGTTAAGCTGTTCTGATATTTAATCATTTACATCGGGCAGCGTAGAAGGATGTGCCGACTAATGTATTCTTCATCTTATACATTCAAGTTGGTTCTCACACTTTTAATGGTATTGTAGATGTCGTAGACTGACAAAAACGTATCTGGGTTTCAAACATATAAAAAAAAAAAGAATTCCATGATCCAAAACTACGATATAGACTTTATGTAGAGTTGACATATATTGACGCCTTTGTCCACAGAAAAAACTCAATTATTATAATTTCTACGTCAGTTATACTCACGTTGCTTCACATTTAGACCATTGAAATGCACGATTTGCAATGTTCATTCAGGTTTCAATCTCAGATTGAGTTTGTTTTACCATAGCTGGACACACACTCATGATTCCGTCTTAACTATAGACTTGTCTAATGTTGTGATAGTAAAATACAAGCTCAAACCATTAAGCCTTTAAGTTGTATTTTATGGCTAAGCACAATGTGGGTCTGGCAGAAACTGCTGTATATACAGTAAGGGATCGGTGAATATCTGCATAAATTAACCTGTCCATTTTGGCGTCTGATACGAACTATCTTCTATCTTTACTTACACATCGTCCCTCAGCACACCTAAAGATACAAGAGTGTTTGTACAATGTGGAAACGTTGATGGAGAGCAATGTTCGCTGTGAAACTCTCATTTAATGCAGTTACGGGCGTTCAACAGAAGACACCACACTCAGCAAAATACAGTAGCCTGGAGCCATAACCGTCCCGCAAACAACTACTGTCAGATCTGACCAAACAACCTGAACAAAAGCGGTCCAAACTCACCCAGAATATGACGTTGAAGACGATCAGCAATGTCCGTAGTTTCGACTTGTCCGCCATGTTGTTGATCAGCGTTTAAAGTGAAAAAAACTGTGAAGAATTCGGGTCGGTTTGGCGGGTCAGAGACGAGATCACAACCGCCTGTCACGCCTGTGTGGCTCCACCAGGTACGCACAGGATTACTGCAGAGCCGTCCCGGGGGGGTCACATTCAACCGTGGTTGGACGGGTCCAAGACAATGCGTGCACACGGGGAGGTCACCTGTTCCAAGGAAGCCATTCAGGAAACAATTATGGATTCACCGGAATAGAAAGAAGATAGAATTTCATACTATTTGTCGATGGCTGGCGTTATGTACAATTAATATATGTATATGGCGCATCCAGAGTAGTTTAAAACTGACAACAGAAGAAAATTTAATGCCCTTATCATAGCTATCAATATTTATAAATCACGTGTCATCATCATTTGTCTTATATAACATTAACAGTCAGACTTGTATATGTTGCAGCGTTTTGTCTTGGAATGTGACTAGATGTCGTAAAGATTTGTCTTCACCTGTGAAACGCGAAACAGAGTAGGGCCGTGTTTATGTGAAGTCAGTGAAGGCGCTTTACATGTGGTTTACCCCGAAGCCGGTTTCAAGTGGCTCCATCTGAACGCTCCAAATCACATTGAAAGCGCCTCGATCCCAAGCCACTTCTAGAGGTGGTTTCGAATCGGTTTTCCCGCATCGCGATTTGCGTCTGAACGCAATGTGATTTCAATGTGACTTCACTTGGTCATGGATTACGGGGTGATATTTCTTTATTTATATGCAATACCAACTTTTACGTGGCAGCAACTTAAAGAGTAGTAATGGTCAAATGATGTGTCCGTTCTAGGACGAGCTTCACCGCCTCTGGCGGGACCACGTCGGCATTCGGCCGAGATACGCTGGGAGTAGGGCATCAGCAAGCAGGTCGTTGACCTCTGACATTAAAACACGCTACCTAGCGTGTTTTCATCAAACAAAAATGAATGTAGTTTCGGAGAATCGTGATCGGGCACGTTTTAAAAGGAATGAATGGCACGTGGACCAGATATGAAAAATGTGAGTTACCCGAATCACGCGGTTTGGGTGACTTCACATAAACACGGCCTGGTTTCGCACCGCCCCCCTCCCAGCTTCACGCATGGCTGGGTGAGGTGTAAACAGGTAGGCGGACCGGATCGAGTAACAGGAGACTTTGTAGTCCCTAATTTGGCGGCTTTCGTCACGGATTTCTGCGGTGACGTCATTGAGGGTGGTGTTTTCGTTGAGTGCTGAAATGATCTCTCTGTGTAGCGAAAACAGTACACAAACGCACACAATCACACGGTGATTTGAGTTAGCTAACTTGAATACGATCAGCGTTGATATTTGACATTCTTTAACTTCGTAGAGTGCGATATTTATATTTCCTAGCAGGTATGTAAAGGCGGGTAAAAACCAGAATGTAAGGTGTTTTCGTCGAGGTGGCGTGCATAGGTTATTACAAAAATAGTAGAAATCAATATTGACCTAAAATAGTCTAGATATACCATACCAGAATACTGAGGCTGCCTACTAGAAAGTAAAGGTGCAATCACAACCTGCAAAGCGCTCTAAATAGACTTTTGCTCCGAATGAAAACTGTTTTCGTCTGTGATTTTGTTGAACCTCCACCGTGGTAGATTTTGGGGATGTTGCCATGTAAGGGTTTGTATCAAAAGTTAAACCATCTGTGGATAAAAGTGACGATAAAAGAAAAAAATACAGAAGAGACTAAATCTAGTTCTTCATTAATGAGTTGCAAATCCTAACCGCCTCCGGTAACAACTTACGCTACGCTCTTAATCTCTAGCCTCCTTTTTCAGGCGTTCCCGGATCGGTCTTTTTTTTACATATACATTTATCAAACGTAGATCGCACGCAATAGAAGCTCCGGCTGGCAACCCTATAATATCCACGGAGATATCCCCCCCCCCCAAAAAAAAGACCGATCCGGGAACGCCTGAAAAGGAGGCTACTTAATGAATGAATGAAGGCCTTTATTGCACATTTCTGCCACACTTGGCTAAGTACAGGTCACAACAAAACAAGATGAATGGACACGGTTAACAGATACAAAATTAACTAACTATCGTTATATAAATTCAACTTCTCCTCGCTTTTCTGTTATTGCAGCAATAAACGTACAGATCTGTTTTTCGATGGGTGGTTTGTCTAGTCGCATAAGGAATGTGAATTTTTCTACAGTACTTAAGTGCGTGAAATAGGGGAATACGTGTTGTACAAACATATAAAGTTCACTTCTCTCTTTGCTATACAGTTCACATTCTGTTACAAAATGGCATTCGTCTTCTATTTTGTCCAAGTTACAATATTTATATAATCTGTGTTCAAGGGGAGTGTTTAATCTCCGTGGAATGTAAGAGAAATCCCTTGTTCAAACCGCGGATATCCCGGCCCGGCGCTGCGCACAGGTCTGTGTGTGTACACAACACGCCGTGTGTAGACAGATCCGGTTACTGTATGGTAAAGTAGCTGGAGCGGATGAAGTTAATCACGTGACTGTTCATTTGGGGGTCAGCTTCTACAAACTCGCTATGACTGAATACTGTATTATCTGCACGTCTCATCATCATCATCATCATCAGCAGCAGCAGCATTATCACCGTAATCAGCCGTAGGGCTACTCAGCTTTTAAAGTGCATTTAAAGCAGCTTTTAAACTTGAGTGGATTGAGGATTATTGAGGAAAAACTGTCTTTTAGCTGCCCACCCAAGGGTGGCAGCTATTCTTCCAGGAGAGGATACATAAGACATAACAATACATCACATACAATTACATATGCATTTACATTACATTGTTATTTAAAAGAAACAAATGTGTAGCATCATATGTGCTTTACTTATTCATGTCCCTCATGTGTTTTAGTAGACCTTGTTTGAACTTCTCATGTGATGCCACTGTTTGCAACCCATGTAGTAGAGAGTTCCATGCTGCGGTAGTTCTGTATGTGAACTTTTTAGTGCTGATTGTTTTCCATTACTTTACAATGGGCACTATACGGACACTACAGGACATTAACACAGCTTTTAAACTTAGCTCATCAGGCAAATAACAACAATAGGCATGTATAACCTGTATCCTCCAACGAGTTACAAAACTAAAAGGAGAGTACATATATTTCTGTGAAAATTGCAACATTGTTTAAAAAAAATGTTATTACATATTTTGCTTATATGGTACACAATCTCTACGTACACGACAACATGGTAATTTATGACTATCATTTTGTTTATTTACAGCCATTATCAAAGTGGCTTCTATCATAAGGCCACCATATTTAGATGATTCAGAATATTGAGTTTATATGTACCCATGGCATTTATATTACAATTATTCTCTGCGGACACTACACGTTTTCTCGGACAAAAAAAAAAAACAGGCAACTGAAAGCCATATGGTATTTTAACTCAAATTACCAGCAACTCGAAGACACATATAGATATACCATGCATAACATGCCAAGATGGCCAGTCCTATCATAATTTTTTTTTTTTGGGGGGGGGGGGGTTATGATATATTTTGCGATTAAGTGTAAAAAATACATTTTTGATAGCACATGTTCCAATCAGTACCAACAGCTTGTGGGGACAAAACGGTACCGGACGAGTTCCATTCCGGCCCTGGTTGATTTGCTAAACAATTAAACTCTGATGAACTGCATCATGTTTGCCCTGACACTACCACTAACTGGTTTTGTTATCTCTTGGAGAGTAAAACCTAACAATAATCTAAAAACAATTGTATTTTATAAGTATGTCCATAAGTAATTTATAAGATACAAATTTATTGGTTCATGTGCAAATCTTAACAATTCTATATGCATTGGTATTTTACAAGTATGTCTATAAGCAATTTATAACTGATCCCTGCCAGACAATGCTACATATGAATATTGCTTGTATATATAGTACATGAGTAATTGTCCTCAGAATTATCTGGACAATACTGTATTTAGATCATATGTTTAAAAAAATTCAACAGAATGCAATGAATATTTAGTTACAATGATATAACAATGCAGGATGCCATTGGCACACCCTGGTTTTGGAATAGCCTATACTGAATATCATTACATATAGGATCCATCTACGGCTTCTCGAATAAATTAACCTTGTGGTAGCGAACTAAATAGGGAAGCTTACTAGTAACACTCTCACATAACGTGAGCCATGCTGCTCAGGCCAAACCCACTAGGCGGCGTTTCCGTATGCAGGTGTTTGCTGTAACACTGCGACGCATATGGGGGTACAATGTACATGGGGCTGGTTGACAATAACGCTTTCAGTAAACACGTGAAATGAAAAAAAAATCCTAAAGATATGATTTATCTGTGCGAACTGTTTTTCTTCCAATACAACAATCTATAATAAAACTGTCATTGAGTCACTGGTCTGGAAAACGACGTTGACAAATTTGAAACAAACCACACACAGTTGACACACTGCCCACCATACATGGCAACACACTGCAGCAGCAGAGGAAAATCTGTCAACATCTTGGTTTTCATCCTTGAACTTAAAGATCCTCAGGGTAGTTTGTAGGTCGAATAACAAGGTATGGAATGTAGGCTTTGTCCTGGACTGACTCCTCCTACCGGCAGATATGTAAGAGACACATTCCCGATAACACGCAACATGTCACATGTAACGTTAGCAGTCCTGTATGAGTGAGTGGTGAGAGCTGTTTACCTTGTTGTGACTGACCGTGTAGGAAAGTCATGTTGCGTTTTGCTGTTTTGGCTCGGATGACGATTACTCAACGCTCTTGTCGGCAGTGCCTTTAGCTTTCCTCAAAACGTTAAATTACGACATGTGTTCTATAGGAAAAGCCTCCAGGATTGCGCCGTATATGATTCTATTTTGAAAGATATTGATGTTACTTTGCCATTTTGTTATCAATATATCAGGGGTGGAATATTGAAATGATATCCCCATATTTCTGAAATGTCTGAAACTGAAAATGCTGAAAATTAAAGCATATTTTCAAATCCCTGACTATGCTTCTGTTCTGACTTGGAAACAGAAGTAAACCCGCCATTTAGCATTATATGTGTCCTGTGTGAAGTTGAATGTTGTCTATTATATGAACTGTACGTCATAACGAAAAATTTCAACTTGCACTTGACTGAAGCAAGATGTAACTGGTTCAGTATACTGTGCACTGAAGCTAGGTTCCCTGTGCACTGAAGCTAGGTTCACTGTGCACTGAAGCTAGGTTCACTGTGCGCTGAAGCTAGGTTCACTGTGCGCTGAAGCTAGGTTCCCTGTGCACTGAAGCTAGGTTCACTGTGCGCTGAAGCTAGGGCCGCTGTGCGATGAAGCTAGGGTCGCTGTGCACTGAAGCTAGGTTCACTGTGCACTGAAGCTAGATTCACTGTACACTGAGACTAAGTTCACTGTGCACTAAAGCTAGGTTCACTATGCACTGAAGCTAGGTTCACTGTGCGCTGAAGCTAGGGCCGCTGTGCGCTGAAGCTAGGGTCGCTGTGCACTGAAGCTAGGTTCACTGTGCACTGAAGCTAGGTTCACTGTGCACTGAAGCTAGGTTCACTGTACACTGAAGCTAGGTTCCCTGTGCACTGAAGCTAGGTTCACTGTGCACTGAAGCTAGGTTCACTGTACACTGAAGCTAGGTTCCCTGTGCACTGAAGCTAGGTTCACTGTGCACTGAAGCTAGGTTCACTGTACACTGAAGCTAGGTTCACTGTGCACTGAAGCTAGGTTCACTGTGCGCTGAAGCTAGGGCCGCTGTGCGCTGAAGCTAGGGTCGCTGTGCACTGAAGCTAGGTTCCCTGTGCACTGAAGCTAGGTTCCCTGTGCACTGAAGCTAGGTTCACTGTGCACTGAAGCTAGGTTCACTGTGCACTGAAGCTAGGTTCCCTGTGCGCTGAAGCTAGGTTCCCTGTGCGCTGAAGCTAGGTTCACTGTACACTGAAGCTAGGTTCACTGTGCACTGAAGCTAGGTTCGCTGTGCACTGAAGCTAGGTATTGCTTCTAACAATGCGGTAACAGTATATAACAAATTGCCCCGATGAAGATGGCAGACGGTCAGGGAAACGTCGGGTCTAAGCTTGTTACACAAGTGGTTGTGAATAAAGAAAATTTCTATTCAATCATTCATAAACCTGATATGAAATTATTCACGGACACATCTTGAACTATAGACTTTCCTTCCTTGTCATCAATGAACCTCATGTGCAAAAAGTGAGCCCGCCATTTTGTCCTGACCTAATTATTCGCGATAGAGGAAGATCTTCCTGACCTAATTTTCGAAAATCGAACAAATAAACAAGAAAATCCAAGAACACGACTTTTGTTTACACAAGTTAATGGCGGTGATGCTGCTGATCTTACACTATTCCTGCCAATTAGTGACGGGTTTGTAGATTATCTATCTAAGATAATTTGGCTGATGTCAACGACACGACCTAGATAGTCTTGTTACCATGGTAACGCAATTAGCCCCCTTGCTGACGCATAACGGCTCCCGTCTGACTGGGACGTGCAACATGTGCTCATAAACAGGTGGGCTCAGTATTTTGTTTGTTTATTATTTGTTTGCATGTTTGTTTTCATTTGACACCATTTTGATTAAACGAAGACAATGTATGTCAACAGTAATAATATATAGAACGGATTCACATTAAGTTATATTGCCATAGTGCAACTTTTGTTGAAAAAAAAACGCCCCTTCAAAAATGGTATGGTCCTACGTCTCACCAAGGTCAACACATCGTCCCAGAAACTGCCTGTTCCACTTTCCGAGTGGAGGCGCCGACACGACCCGAGCTAGCGCCGACACGACCCGAGCGGAGCTTCCGTAGCACGCGACAACATGGAGAGGTTCTGGCCCTTCAAGCGTCACCGAGACACGCCGTGCTGCTCGTACACGGCCATACAGTTCACCCTGTTCTTCTCCAACTTCGTCTTCTGGGTGAGTGTTTCACGCCAGGCATTATATAATGTGTAACGTTAGTATCTCCCCAGGCATGAATCACATTGTGACGATGGGTCATGCGGGGCTATTATACTTTTTTATACCTGGTGTGAGAAAGAGATGTTACATTTCTTTGACTCTGAATTTTATTTTGTCCCATTTCGCGCCTTTAATTATAAAAATGCATGAATTAGAAAAATTTGCCCCACTAGACACTGGCTAGGACCATGTAGCCGGCTGTTCTATGTATGTGTATAGCTATATATAGAACAAAGGAACCATGCTCAATTACAGCAAACCAGTTTTTGCCCAGACATGTACATGTGATGTTACGTGCATGCATTCGCGGTCAACAAAACTTCAGGATGTAGCTTTATCAAGTTGTTAGCCCGTATATGTCTGATGTATCTTATCGAAACATTGGTCACTGTGAAATTCGGCCGAACATTATATGCAAGTTGTAAGTGTGGTAGGCTCAGTGTTGACAAGCTTAAGGGAAGATGAAGGGCACGTATCTAGATCAAGGAATTAGCAAGTATCTAGATTGTTGTCTGAACAACTAGCAGGGAGGGTGAGCTATCCGAATCCACACCGAACCTTTAAACTAGTCTGTTTCCGGCCTTTCATGCGGTTGAATAGTATATTCAATTCCATACATTCAGTGTTAATAATACTTAGTCTGTTTGCAAGTGCGCACATATGGTACGAGGTCACTGGAACTAGAAGGCAAACAAAGAAGCAATATTGGAAGGTAATATAATAGAATAACTAATTGAAATGAAAAACTAGATAACGACAGAAATGTCCGCTACATAATACACAGTTGTGATATTACTTCAGGTGCGTGTATGCAGAAAAGAAAAAGTCCTACTATACTGGGGGAATTTCTCTAATATTGTCCCTGAATGGTACGGATTGACACAATTTCATTTAACTGTAACACCAAGAAGAAGTGTTTTTCGTTACACTTTCATTCAGATATTTCAGGAAGTCTGGCAGCTTTCACATTGTCTGCTTGCACAAATATACTGTACTAAATTTATTTCACACCACGGACAGCTTTCAAAGAAGTAGCCTGGTATCCAGTCTGATTCGTGGTCGGGGCCACAAGAGCAGGCTGGCCCGCCCGCCTCACATAGGTTTCCCGGTGTGTATTTCACGAGAGATTGATTAGCCCCCACGTGTTAGGGGGGAAACCAAATCCCCAAGCATATTGTCTCTTATTAGCGTAACTCTCCTACCGGGACGGCCTGTTGCACTGGGCGGGGAAGCTATTAGAGCCCCCGAAGGCACAACCTGCCTGAACACCCCAATACCCCCAATCACGTAAGACTGGATACCAGGCTATCAAAGAAGTCGACGTTTAAAACATGTTGAGAGTGATTAGTATTCATGGCATTGGGCCGTGCATATTCCGTAGAGGTTTTCTGTTTTACAAAGACTGTTGTAGTGTTGATTATTAGATATTAGCGGAGTCTATGGTCTATCAAAGGTTTGTCAAATGTTTGGTTTGCACATTGTTGAGTACCGTCCAGCTGTCGACCTCTCGACCGGAACTCTGACATTGTAAACATGGGGTCATCAGCTACCGGCCACCACCACACTTCTCGTAAAGATATGTTTGTTTGTTTGTTTGTTTATTTAACCAGGAAATACATGTCGCCTATTGGCGGTTTTCAAAGATTCCTGGGGGGATAACCCCAACAAAACTACATGGCATTATAATTATAACAAAAGATTAAAGATGAACTAACAAATGTCAACTAAAAATAGATAAACTTATCATGAACAAGACGAAATCGTAAAAAACTCATCAACAATCAAATGAAATAAGGTAACATAGAAGTAATTATAATCGTCCAGAATCATAATGGTAGATAGTCAAAAGGTATATGAACTTAAAAGTAAATAACTAAAAGTGGAGTTTGCATATTAATGAAAAGAAATATAAATAATCAAATCAAAGAGGCATGGAAAGTCAAATAATACAGAAGTAACGGAACAAGTTGACCTTGGTATATCAGTGTCCAGTAGTTATATATTCTTGATTGTAGATCTTTTTGAACAGTGTAAGTGTCCCTGCCGATATCACACGTGTGGTCACGACTACTGATAATTTCCCCCATAGTCAAGTTAACAAGTATGCTTATAACATGTAACCTCCATTAACATTTTTACCAGGTTACAAATATCCACCACTTTGGCAAACAAGTGTGTTTGAGAGATCTTTAGTGCAGTACCCCGGGTATGCACATTTTAGATACCCAGGAGTGCGCTATACTGGGCGGTGTTGCGTTGGGAATCTCTTTGTATGCATTTTCTAGGGTGGCCAATACACATGACCTGGTGGAATTACTGTATGTTAGTGGACGTTGTCAGGTCTTTCTTTATAAATCACGATATATCTTGCCGTATCTAAATCGTATCACGACCCTTACTTAAGGAAGCCTCGTTCCTTCTCTTCTTGTCTTGACTGAATGTTTCTGATATGAAGTATACTCAGTTTAAAACAAACAAAAACTAGTATGTATGCGGGTGCGACATCTAAGATGATCAGTATACGTCCCGCCTGTTTTCCTAGTAGAGACGCAGAGAGAACTAATTTTGAAATAGCAAGTGAGTCAGATATAAGAGGGGTGTTGGTCCAAATTGTGGCTAATAACAGCGCCCAGGGCTGTGTTCATAATTTCTTTGTTCTGAAATACGCACAACGCCCGGCACACCCCTAGAATTCTAAATGTTTCTGACGGTTCACGAGTTATAGTAGAAAACGGTGACTTCAAAAGACAAGTGATAAGCACATCTGCAGTGGATGCAAACGGAATTCGTGTCAACCTTGGTACCTTCACTAGAAATAAAATTAATAAACTTTTTCATGTCCCAAATCATACATCAGAACTCAATCTGTACAAATGGCCTTCAGGATAAAATTAGCATTTCGTACTTAACGATCGCAGTCTAGGTACGAGTAAAGTAGTAATAAGAGTAAGAACCTATCATTTGAATGAAGACCCAGGCTTCCATGACCTGATTCAACAAAGACCGTTGTTGTCTCGTTTACTATATTGCATATCGAATTTGCCATACGTTGGCTGCGAAGATCAATACAGTATACTGGTATGTCTTTGTGGTATGTCTATCTATCTATCTATCTATCTATCTATCTATCTATCTATCTATCTATCTATCTATCTATCTATCTATCTATCTATCTATCTATCTATCTATCTATCTATCTATCTATCTATCTATCTATCTATCTATCTATCTATCTATCCATCCATCTCTGTAAAACGTAGGAAGAGCATTGACATTTCACTGATATCAATGACAGACAGCAGAGGCTGCCTATAGAATATCTGACTGTTAGAAACCTGATCCAGTTGTATGATTTATATCTGACATATGTAAATGGAACAGCCTCTGCACACACTATCACTAGCGTGAGGGGAAACAATTTTATATGCGCCTTGATTTAAGCTTATTGACAATAGCCGTCAATTTAGCTGCAATTCTGTTAGCCTAACATTTATCCAACAAGTGTATTTCAAACATAGTTCTGCTGGTAATGTCTGCTGATTTAGTACACGACATGCTGCAATTCCAGGTTGATCCTTGCAGACAAAAGTATGAGGTGCATGTACAGAGATCAGCCCAAAGCCCCCTGAGATATGAAAAACCTTCCACTAAGCTTTAAATCTATTTAGTGCAAGCAAACATGACCAGGTTTACCAAACATTGCTAGACGGATGTAAAACTCAACACCTAAAATATCACCCTAAAACATAAACCGATCACCAACAATAGAATTTGTGACAAATTGTCTCTCACGGGTTTAGAACAATATATATAATGGTTGTTTCACGGCTTCGCTCATATCTAAGTTTAGTCACTTCATAGTCTGGAGTATGTACGTTTTAACGTTGTTGGGCCACGTATTAGACAATAACATTAAATATGAAACAGTAGGGATACAGTTTCAAAGATGACAACAAATATCCTTGGCCTGTAAAACCTTTTCACTTATTCCTCATAATACAACATCAAGTACTTATCATATTACAAACGGAGATTAAAAGTAATTCTACAAATACTAGTTTCTTGTGCGTTTTCTATCTGTCCTGAGTATTACAATGAAAGAATATCTAGATTAAATCTACAACAGTAACTACGTATATAGTAGAAACAGTCACCCTTGACCTCGCATTGGACTCCCGTTGAGAAAACGCCCAAGGCCGATGAAGCCTTCCAGTCTATATATAAATATTTGTCTTAAATAGAGAGATCGACTTATTCATTCAAAGGTAAATTTAGAACAAACTTGAATATCTTTCCTCGTCAGATGTTACATTATTCAGTTCCAGGCTGTTTTTGCGCATCTAGATCTAGAATGTTCTCTGCTTCTCGTTGTAGCTGCCATCTTGAAACAGACCCTCAGGGGTTTACTTTGTGTAAGTGGGCCCAAAATAGATGAACAACATTCTTTCAAGGTTCCTGTTTAATGACGCGTGGAGTAATGTTGTGTCTGAGGCCGTCCATTTAGCGTGTAAACACGCCCAGACAGACGGCAGGTTTTGGCAGGATTGTCGAGCTTCAAAATAGTCCGAATACCACGCAATAAGGCATGTTAGTATTACCGATATACATTCAAGTTATTACCTTCGCCAAGAAGGTTATGTTTTCAGTTGCGTTTGTCCGTTTGTCTGTCTGTTTGTTTGTTTCTCTGTAAACAACATAGATCAAGAGGTTTAATATGCATTGCCATGAAACTTGGTAGGTTGGTAGGTCTTGATGAAACCTAGAAATGATTAGATTTTGGGTACCCTGGCAGCTTTTGTTGGTACTGCAGCAGAACGTCCGGGATTGATATCTCGCGATCTGGATATGCTAGGGTCACGAATTTTGGGTGGTAGATAGCTCTTGGACCAGGGAAAAAGTGCCATGGGTTTTGGCCCCCTAGCGGCTTGTTCTAAAACTGCAGAGGCGTTTGTTAAAGTCTTCCAATGAGGATAACTAAAAAACCGGTTGACCGATTGTCTTGATATTTGCTATGTAGGCAGCTGAAGTGATGCTTGACATAATGAAATGACAATTATGCAAATCAGTAAATTAGTAAATCAGTAACAAATTTGCATTATTAATGAGGAAATTCTATAAATCTGCTTCGTTCAATACTAGGACATCAGCGTAACACACCAGCTTTGCAGTCACGCGGCGCGGCGGCAGCTAGCTATATCACACCGAACGACTTGTTACACTCAATCTTTGCACATTTGATTGCAGGAGTTGTTCAGCTTTCTAGTGATGATGCCCCAACTGTGCTCGGGGCAACGAGTTCCAGTCTACGATAGTTCTGGGGAAATACCAGTTTTTGAATATACCTCAATTCTTGGTTGATAACTCTGATATTTGAAGGCATGACTGTTTCTTGTTCTTTTCTGGGCTGGTATCAGATACTTACTGGTTGGTACGTCCACCAGTTTATTAGTCATTTTGTACATCATGCACAGTTTGGACATTCTACGCCTGTCTTCCAGCGACCACCACTGTAGGTTTCTTTTCATTTCCGTTACACTAGCACCCCTTTGATAGTTGTTCGGGTATGGTTTCATTTCATTTTGACACCTGGGTTAAACCGTTTGTTGCAGACTGGCGGGATGGTGTCCTACGTGGTGGTGTGGGCGCTGAAGGTCCATGAGAAGATGAAGATGGTGACCAGCATCAACCTGGACTGGCTCTACCTGCCGCTCTACGTCACTAACATCGTCATCGGCGTCATCATGTACTTCGGCTGCTGCGCCGCGTTTCTGGAACAGCGGAAATCTCTTCTTGTGGTACGGTACCGATCTGTACACCAAACCGGGACAAGAACTGGAATTCATTGTATTGATAATCCATCGTGGTCATTCTGCCAGTCTGAGGAAGAAACCTACCTTCATGTGTTTTGGGAATGCCCTAATCTAATTAGCTTTTGGGATAAAATAAAAACTTGGTACTTAAAAAAACAGGTCAACATATTTATTTAAATAGTTTTATCATTATCTTCGGAAACCTGCTTCCTGGCACCCCTACAATCCAAAATTTATTTATTCCGTTAGTAAAAATCTTTATATACAATAATAGAAAGTCCAACAAAGTAAATTTTGAATCCTTTCTTCGATATGTAAATTTCTTTTAAAAAGTTGAATACTATATTGCTGCAAGAAAAGGAAAAGTGGGAAAAAACTGAGAAAATGGGGCACTTTTGGTGATTAGTACTGTTGTGGTAAACTTTTAGTATGGCTACTTTTGTCTTTTTCTTTGTTTGACTGTTGACCCTTATTTGTATATATTTCTTGAGATGACAAATTAGGTATTGATTTGTAACGGGATGGTTCCCATTTTATGTTATTTCTTTGTTATTAAGAAAAAAAGAACTGGAATTCAAAATAGTTATCTACAATTCTTAACAATGTCAGTTTGTAGATTGATGGTTGTTGGTATATGAAGTTGAAAGTACTGAGGTACTGTTTCATCATCGTTCATTGAAAGTATTATTCGATATCTTTTTTTCAGTACGCCATGTGTCTCGTAGTTCTGATACTTGCGGAGGTTTCATCAAGCACGTGGGCTTTGATCTACACAAAAACGGAGGTACGTCAAATATTATGATTCTACTGAAGTGCATGGTATGCTAAATGTTTCTCAGCGGATTTTAATTAAATAAAGGGGTGTAGGGCGAAGTGAAAACAATGTCTGGCATTAGGCTCACATCGGTTTTCAGACGATTGTGTTGTGACAAATGTATAAGATGGCAGATCTGTTTTAGCTCTAGATTTAAGGTAAATATTAAAATTTCACATTGAATATACATGATGAATATACTGTCATTAAAGTTCATCTGTGTTGGTAGTTGCATGTGTTAAGTTAAAACTTTTGGTCAAACGCAAGAAATTCTCTCACCTAGAGCTTTCGACCAGTCACTCTGGTCTTCCTCAGTAGACTGACCCAGTGACGCTTGTCACGTGGCTTCTTTGAAGTGTGACGTCAACACTGGGTCAAAGGTATCTGGTAGACAATGTCGGCCCAAGTCGCAGTTCAATGTAGGGTGATGGGCCCTGATGTATATGGCTTCCTTCACCCCTCTAAAGAAATAGTCTTGTTCAGTGTCTAAAATCCTTACAGTGTCAAGTGAAACAAAATGTCCGGATGACTCTATGTGGATGTGTTGAGACACCTCTGAACTGGCAGAGCTAGCCAGTCTACTGAGGAAGACCAGAGTGACTGGTCGAAAGCTCTTGGTGAGAGAATTTCTTGTGTTGGACCAAAAGTTTTAACTTTAAACATGATGAATATACGCCTCGGTTTCCTCTCCCAACAGTTCCAACATTTCGCCGACAAGTCCTTCAACACAACGATACAAACGCACGGAACGTTGGAGCAGTGGTCGGTCAAGAGTTACCTGGAGGAGTTTCAGACAGAGGTATGATATGTGTGTCTTTCTAGAAAGTTATAGATTACGTTTGAGATTACGGTCAAGCTAGATGCCTCTAGGATGGTATCAGACATTTATTTATTTATTTCTGTATTCGTTAACCAGGGTAGCACTAACTCAGTGACATAGCACTGCTTTACAGAGTGGCCCTGGGTACGACACAAATATACACGGAAATACAACAGTACATACACCAAAAACAATATCATAAACGTGATCCATTACTAATAATCGGGGTCACGCCATGTCGTAAGGGAGGGAAGTCAGAGGTCACGTAACTGAACATACAGTGTTCTGAACGTCTGTATCGACGGTGCAGTTCTAACACCGGGTGGGAGTTTATTCCAGCCCACTGCACCTCGATAAGCAAACGTTCTCTTGTCGCATTCCAATCTAGCTTTAGCATCAAAAGATGGAAGCCGTTTTCTAATAACAATATCTGATCCATTACAAAGATATAACTATGCAGTTGTTTTGGGTCCGGGCTGGAGTTGACACGTAAGAATACAAACTTGTTAAAGAACAGAAGTGATTAAGTCCGTACTTAACCTCCCATGTTCCCTGTGCGCAGTACCAGTGCTGTGGTTTACTGGGCCAGACAGACTGGAGGGAGCCGTACAAACATCTCAGCTGTAAGTGTGGCGACGACGTCAGACAGACAGACGTCAGACAGACGTGCAGTCAGGTAAGGATAGTCAGAACTACCCTGGATGCCAACTAGTATTGGGCCGTTAGCCCTTTTCCTTCGGCAGCCAAGAGCCCTTCCCCCGCCTATCTAAATTACCGCTACGGGGGAGTTGAGCCCTAAAGGGGTTTGTCCGGCCCTCAGCCAAACTCCCCCCGGGCTAGACTCCCCCGTAGCGGTAATTTACACCAGCGGGCGAAGGGCTCTTGCGGCCCGGAAAACGAGTTCTGGCTTCCAGGGTAAGTCAGAACAGGACTAGGATCCAAAGAACACGGTCAATAAAAGAGTTCCACGACTTTATACCCTCGCCAGACTGACGAATTGTAATTTTTTTCATTGATTACGTAAATAAGTTACTGATTTGCATACATTATATCAGTTGCTCATATTCTAAACCCAATGACGGTCTCATCTCATCTAGAAAGAAAGCTATTCCATCATTCGCTCATAAATTATGCAAATGAGTTCCTGATTTGAATAAATTATGTATAATGATGTTAACCTTCATGTAACCTCCAACTGCGGTATGAAATTTTCATGATAATCCACCCAACGCTTCTTGAGTTGTCGTGCTAAACCACACACACACACACACACAAACGCTATGGAAAATATATTAACCTTCCTGGCGAAGGTAAAATTAGTTTTCGCTTTGTCGATGGTGCTGAAGCGCCATCTTTCCTGTGTTGGGTAAGGAAGGCTACGGTTTAGTAGCAAACCCAACATAGAAAGGCAGCAAAATGGAAATTTCCGCTTTTAAACAGATATGTATGTTGACTAGATGCAAATATATATTATTATTAAGTTCAAAGCTTTGCAGACACAACATGTTTAAATGACAGCTCCTTGGTTCTTCCCAGCCCTGTGGACCTTACATCAAGGAGTATCTCACAAACACCTTCGTCCTACTCGGCATCGCAGGACTGGTGTTTGGTCACCTGCAGGTGCGTGGAGAGAAGACACTTTATTTTTTAATTTTTTTTATTTTTTAATTTTATTTTTTATGACGATTTACCACATTTGTGGAAGGATTGACATAACAGGTGACCATCACCTTTTCAAAGATGTCAACCCCAAGCCCAGACTGTAAGGTTTGAACCACTCACGCCGGGAAGGTCCCCTACTCTTTTCGATAAGTGTGGTGGGTTCTTTAACGTGCGTGGGGTGTGGCTCTCCCAACACGGGGCCTCCATTTAACGTCCTATCCGAGGGACGTCCCTAGCCGAAGCTAGGTACTCATTTCCACCTGAGTGAAGTGAGGAAAGTCGTGTAAAGTGCCTAGGCCTTTCCCAAGGGCACAAGATCGGTGACAAGGCGGGGTTCGAACCCGCGACCTCTGGGGTGTGAGCCGAACGCGCTACCGACTGCGCCACACGACCCCACTGAACTACTTTTACCTGTAGTTCACAAACGGCTATCGAAACAATGTAAACTATCCGTTTGTTGTTGTATATCTGAATCGTGTAGAGCTAATCCTATTTTGACAAGGTATTCTTGGTTTTTGTTTCAACCTATCACAAATCAAGAGTTGACTTGACTCAAGGACTTGAGTTTTCAAAATCTAAGAATACTATTACCACTTCACTTCCACGTCTTAAATCGGTCTTTGTTCACAGCGTAACTTATATGTAAAAGACTGCTATGTTATTACAAAAAATATTAGAATTAGCCCCACTCGATTGTAACAATATATCAAAAATTTAAACTAACCCTTATTGTTTTAGTTCTTCTATACCTCTTATTTGTACTATGTTCAATAGTTGTTGCCATACTTTGTACCATGTACAATTGTCGTGCGATAAAGTTCTTCTTTAAAACGATGCCAACATTTCTATGTTCCATTTTTTTAGTTATTTGGCATCTTCTTGGCGTGTTGGCTGTACCGGCACCCGACCACGCGGGTGAGAACCAAACGCAGACGGCAGTCTCGTGCCGGCTCCTCCGGTAACACCAGCTCCGGACTCTACAACAACAGCACTGTCGGCGGCTTCGACGACGAGTCTACCGTGCTGCCTGTCTCCAACGGCAAGGAAAGGCCGACGAAAAAGAATCAGCACCTTGGGAACCTGCCGAACAGACTACAGCACATCGTCTAAAGGACAACATGCAAGAGAGAAATACACACATTGCAGTGTAGCATGAAAGTTCATCTGTGTTGGTACAAACCATTTTGACATAAAGACTAAGCTTTAACTTCCAACACATAGATTACAGAATTGGGACTTTCCAAATTTTCGGTTGACTCCATCAACCTTGTCTTAAGGGGGCACACCCCAGTTTATTTGGCGTCTCTATTCTAAGCTGCACACCCTCAAATCTAGCGACCGCCTCTGCCGTGGAGTAGTTCGGAAGGAGAATAACTGTATATGGGACGAAAAGATATCTCTTCAGCTACAAGACCAGCTGAGTTTGGTTTCTTCAACCTTTTTAATTTTTGTAAAATCAACGGAAAAAACATTATTTTCACTCCAAAATTAATGCACAAAATTGCGAACTTTCGCTTAGGATAATCCCATAGAAAAAAAATTTCCGGCAGAAATGACTGATGCTGGCAGAAAGACCCAAACCTTGACTATACCCGAGTAAATTATAAAGAAAATTCTAGCACTGTAATTTTTTAAATCGTCCACAGCGCGAGGGGTTGCACATCCGCTACTAGGAAGGCGCAGAGCGAAATCTAGGTCAAACGGGCGGATTACACTTGGCGCGCAAGGATACCCGGAAGTAAGGTTCGGAGCCAAAAGAAATTTTTACCCCAAAATCACCATTTCTTACACTCTTCAGCCATGTTAATGTTTAATGATATTTCGTGGCAGTTTATGAGAAATGTCACCTCAAACTTGGACCCTCAAAACCCTTTCGTCACTTTTTTACCACGGACTATCGTGGAAGAACTGGTGTGTGCACCGTTAAGAGCTCACAGACCTACCCTGAACAAAGACGGGGGGCGACACAAGTTATCACGTATGACGTACAGTCACGTGTCTCTGACGTCACGTTCCAAGAGTAGACTGGTCCATTCCGTGAACAAGGTTGATGGAGTCAACCGAAAATTTGGGGTAAGTCCCAATTCTGTAATCTGTAAGCTTAGTCTTTATTTCACATTGTAGTGTAGTTGAGAATCGAGAGAAAATTTATTCCGTATAATATTGTACATTTATTATTTTTGTATGATTATGACATTTCTAGGGCTATTTAGCAAATACACAAATTGGTATTTTTGTTATTCCTGCCTCGATAGTCTAACTGATCCTTCTGTACATTGAAAGTTGTTTTAAGCTAATCCCCTGCAAGCATACTTTATTTTACAACGGATGAATTGCCTTCACTGGACGAAGACAGAGGAGTAGCGGATGAACTGAGAAAGCGAGGTTAATGTATCTAACATTCATTCATACTGCAACACCGCGCCTATCAAGTATCAATGTCATGTAGTTAGTTGGAATATCTAGATATGAGGAAAGAAAGGGTCACAAAGATAAAGATGTTTACTCCGTGGAGACGGTATTGAAATCAGTTGTGATGCTTCCTGTGTTTTTGTTTTGTTGATGTAAATCTTCAAAATATATTCTATATAAAATACAATTATTGTATAAACATTAAGCTGTATGAAGAGTAAACAGCTGACGACAGAATGTGCGGTACAAAAGTGCTGTGTACGTAAACAACCCAGTCTGGTCTGTGGATCCTTCAACACGACCTTTGTGCTTTACAGGGACCGCCCAAAAACAGAATCTAGTACCTCAAACAAAATACCCCAGGCCTAAATAGATTGATAGCTATCCATCGGATGTTAACACTTGACATTATCTGAGCTAAATCGTCATATATCTAGTCTGTATATAAACTGTGCCCGAATCTTTCCTCTTATGGACCAATTGAATGCTTGGAATAAACAAGAATTCGGAGATCTCATACCTATATGAAATATATGACTTTTTACCTTCGCCAAGATGCAACTTGGTAGGTGGGTAGGACTCTATGAGACCTAGAAATGATTAGATTTTGGGCCCCCTGGCGGCTTTCCTAGGTACTGCAGCAGAACTTCCGGTTTTGATATCTCGTGATCTGGACATGCTAGGGTCACGAATATAGCTCTTGAGATAGGGAAGAAGTGACATGAGTTTGGGTCCCCTAGTGGCTTGTTCTTGAACTGCAGGAGCATTTGTTGAAAAATGTTCGAAGGAGGATAACTCAAGAACCGGTTGACGGATTGTCATGATTTTTGGTATGTAGGTAGTTGAAGTGATGTTTGACATAATCACATGACAATTATGCAAATCAGGAGATAATTTGCATACATAATGAGGAAATTCTATAAATCTTCTTTGTTCGATAATAGAACTATGAACCACTTGTGACATTTACTTGAGAACGAGAGAAAACATCTGAAGATTTACCTCTATATTGCTGGCTTGCACGTGTTTTACGTTTGCGCGCGTCTTCGCCTTTAGAGAAAAAGGCAACTAGCGCTAGTGAAGTTGGTCCTTACAGTTACATTTGTTTGGTTTTATTTGAAGAAAGATCATTCGTGATGAATTATTGGAAACAAGAGGGAAAGTCAATTGTGATAACATATCGTCAACGTGTGGTACTTGCACTTTCACACATCAGAAGACAACCTGACCACAGAGGAGACAAATTACCAACATTGCAATATTCATGCATCTGCAGCAACCTCCGAACTGGATATATATATATATATATG